AGACTCCAGTCGTTGGCTTGAACTCTACCATCTTCACTGGATGGACTGGATCTGCTACTTCGACTTACTCTACTGATTTGACAACGTTGACTGGATCCGATGGCATTCCAACCACTGAGACCATCTACTACGTCGAGACTCCAGTCGTTGGCTTGAACTCTACCATCTTCACTGGATGGACTGGATCTGCTACTTCGACTTACTCCACCGAGTTGACAACCTTCACTGGATCCGATGGTATTCCAACCACCGAGACCATCTACTACGTCGAGACCCCAGTCGTTGACTTGAACTCTACCATCTTCACTGGATGGACTGGATCTGCTACTTCGACTTACTCTACTGGTTTGACAACCTTCACTGGATCCGATGGTATTCCAACTACCGAGACCATCTACTATGTTGAGACTCCAGTCGTTGGCTTGAACTCTACCATCTTCACTGGATGGACTGGATCTGCTACTTCGACTTACTCTACTGGTTTGGCAACCTTCACTGGATCCGATGGCATTCCAACCACTGAGACCATCTACTACGTCGAGACCCCAGTCGTTGGCTTGAACTCTACCATCTTCACTGGATGGACTGGATCTGCTACTTCGACTTACTCCACCGAGTTGACCACTTTCACTGGATCTGATGGTATTCCAACCACCGAGACCATCTACTACGTCGAAACACCTATGTCGAGTGCACAGTCCACAGAAATGAGATCAACCGCTACGTTTGTCACCACCTCATTCACTTCATGGACTGGTCGTTACACGAGCACATTCTCTACCGGTACCACCCTGTTTACTGGCTCTGATGGTGTTTTGACCACAGAAACACTGTATTATGTTGAGACACCAAACTTGCCGTTTTTCGGAAACTCTTCCATCATGACGCCAACAAGATCCTCAAGTAGTGAACTTTCATCTATCAGTACCGCTTTAAGCGGAACTACCTCTGTTGCGGTTGCTTCTTCATTATCCAACTCGCAAGCCGCGACTACGACGAATGATTTCTCTAGTAGTTTCACGTCTATTGTCAGTTCACCATCATCCTCCGCTGTTTCAATTTCGTCCGCAACCATCACTTCTAACACCATGTCACAACCCTCTTCCAACTCCCAATCCAAGACTACGACAAATGCTTTCTCTGATAGTTTCTCGTCTGGTACCAGTTTACAATCATCCTCCGCTGTTTCAATTTTGTCCACAACCACAACTTCTGACACCATGTCACAGTCATCTGTTACTTTTGCATCGTCCACCAAATCCGAACCCCAGTCCAATCAGGTCTCCAGCGCATCTGCATCTGAAAATTCAGCATCCAATGCACAGAAGTCGACGACTGCGAATAGTGACATCATCACGACTTCAAGCTCGGACACCACTTCGTCGATTGCAAGTGCTAGTCAGCAAAAACCATCGCATTCCCAACACTCATCAAGTGTGAGCCAGTCCTCGGTGTCCCCAGCTATCTCAAGTCCAAGTTCTTCCGCATCAGTTGTTTCATCCACCACCGTGGTTCCGATTACGACTCCCGGAGATGGCCAAGACTCACCAACATCGAGGAGCATGCCAACGTCGAAGTCCTCTATATCATCAAACACAGGCTCTGATTCAACGTCTATATCAACCGCAATGCCATCCAAGAATACAAACTTAGTGAAGAGCACTAGCCAAACAGTGGAAGAAAGCAGAACGACGTCAGACTCTAGACATAGCTCTGATAGCTTGAACTCATCGACGAGTATGAGTGATTCGAGTGCAAAAATGCCATCATCTGCCTCAGTATTTTCGTCTCATTCTACTAATTCTGGTCCAACTTCAGTGGAAGTCTTCAGTGATTCAACATCTTCGACATCGAGTTCGACACCTACAACTTCACCAAGTCAAAACAGCTATCGAAAGCCACCACAGGCTACTCAGCTAGCTTCGACGGTACCAAATACTTCTCATGAATTTAGCGACGCCACGAAAACTACTTCAACACTATCTGGCACTGGCAGTGGAAACTTGGTCTCCTCCTCAGCTTCATCATCCAGTGTTATCGAATCCACACTTCAAAATGTTGCCAAGGAAAGTGTTACTGAGGCTCTAGGCGCTTCACAAATTACGAGCGACCTCACTACCGGTAAAGGATCTGTGAGATCTTCGGCGACTTTTGCAACCCAGTCCTCTACTCAGAGTGTCTCTGCTTATGAAGGAGGTGCTAGCAAACTTAGATTGGGTCTCCTTCTTGCTCTACCTTTGGCCTTGGTCTAAGCGATACCCCCATAAGAGCATTTACGAGAAAACCCACCGTATAGTTAACCCTAACAAGATTTAGGCAGACGTGTAACATATTTAAACGCAAGAATTGTATCATTAACAAGTCTCTGGAACTTGAGCTCGCGATTACAGCTCTCAGGCACCGGGTTGCTCGATGAACTGTGCACTAGTCTTCGAAAACGTCTTAATTCTCTATATTCTAAGATGATCGATAAATAGCAAAGTAAAGTAAGCCTACATAGAAGGGTGACAAGTGCTTCTTCACTCCGCTCAACGGCCCTAGTGTGTGACTACCTAAATCGCAAACTTAAACTGGATGTAAACTCTTATTTGAAGCGTAGAATGGTTACGTTATGGGATATAAATCGACTTCCGGAGCTAGCGGCAGAAGCTGACTGCTGGGTATTTGCTGGTAACTATCAGACGACTACTATATCGATAGAAAAAGCACACTGGTATCGAAAAGGCTTGTTTCAATAGAATGTGAGACCTTTACCTTGGGCAAACTGGATAAACTAGCGCTGGGGACAAGATGGAAAGTAAAAGTACAACAAGCAAACGGTTCAGCGTAGTGCCATAAAAAAACCAAATATTGTTGATGTCAAATACTAAAATGGCAGGAAAAGGGAGACGATATATCGTCCTAAAAACTCCTACTTAATAGTTCATATGAACTGTATCTGCCAGCTCACGAGAAAAGATTGCGACCCTATGTGAGGATCCTGAAAACACCGAAAAGAGCAACGCCTGGAGTCAGAATTCAAACGGCTGGCTTTCACACCGAGTCCTGGCGGAACCTCTGTCTGCCTAAGCGTCAGATCTCTGTAAAAACGATCACATGCACGTGACACAATGACGGCGAAAGAAATGACGAAACAGTTATTTCTAAGTATTGTAAAAGAAGAGATGTTTTAGGCAGTTTAAACCTTCATCTAGTTTATGCTTAGTACACCACGAAGAGATCAAAGAGATAACTTAGAAGCTAATAGAATGATATTTACACTTTAGATTGATAGATAAAATTACCAACGGTATATGGGACGTTTATCGTGCAACGACACTTCTGAGACAGAATCTCGACGACACTATTGACAGACGTGAGTAATCTCTCGATGTATACCGTTATATCATCAGTTTCAGGGCTTTTGAACTTATGATCATCAAGTTGTAGCTGTCTCACTTGGTGTACTATTTTATCATTCCTATCGCATGGCGGGCCAGGAAATCACGTGACTATAATCATTTCAACATTAACCTGACGCTAACCAGATGGCAGTTTCAACGCCTACGCAAAACCAGTTCGATCCAAGTCATCTATGATCAGAGTTTCAATCTGTACAACATTCTTTTTTTTCTGCTGAAACTGGCTGTCAACCCGTTATAACACCTGAAGCTGATCACGTGACCCTTTGCGGGCTTCGGAGAAGTGATCTAGACTACAGGACAGATAATGAGTGCCCTATTTTCATATACAATAACGATTGTTCTATACTCACGGTCGTTGGCTTTTACTGACGTTAAATCCTTGTAAGTCCACCAAGGTGCGCCAAAATAGTTACAAAAAGTACTCCTTATTCTTTACTGTATATTATTAAATACATTTTGAACAGCGCAGCCTCATTTAGCGTTCATGAATGGGTAAATACTCTCAAATTTGAAGGAGTCTTTTTTCGTCAGTACTCTACTCATTGTATGGAGAGCGCCCAATTTAAAATCATTTTTGGGCACCATCGTCTCCTGTACCCTGAGAGCTGGACTATGGAAACCTTAGAGTTGGCGGACAATCCTGAAATAGGGCTCAACAACTTAAACCATCTTAACCCTGGACCATTGATTGTGTTCAGAGATCTGGGCATCAGTAAAGTAATTGTTATTGTAGAACTACAATTGGGAGCTCCATGTGCACTTGCCAAAACGGTTCACTTTCTGAGAAATCAGAAAGCTTGCTCTTCGACGTAAAAGCCAAATGTCAACCTTTTTCGTTTGATGGGGATAAGAATATATATATTTTGAGAAGCTAATTCGAACGCAGACAAGACAGTCTTTGATTTCGCTAACTTGTTGGAAAGACTGTACCTTGCACAAAACCCGAGAGGCACTTTAACACGGAGGTACGGTATCTTTTTCGTCGGAAGGGTTGACATCCACAGAATAGTCGGATTGAGTCAAAACATCAGCTTTTCCAGGTTTCGTCACCTTATCAATCGGAATTCGAACAGTTCGCCCTTTGAAAGCGAACCCTGGGTGGAAAACGGTCATAATAGCGGTAGCCAGTGAAATCATAAGTGCGTCCAGGATGACGAGATAGACCTCGTGCGTGATGAGATAACCGCCCCAACCTTGTGCTAACTCTACAACACGGTAGATACATCTCACGTAGACCAAGAGGACTGCAATGGTGAGGGCGTGTGGAAAATAGATGAACACCCACCGTCGTGGACGAACCCGTACGCATTCGTACTCGCGACAATATTTGTAGTCAATTTCCAGCTGGTTCACATGAAGAAGAGCCCTGGCGGGTCTTCGCGTTGCGGTGTGCTCCAGACGTGTGACCATAAAGATCTGGTATAGTAGGTGGAACCATAGCAGTAGAAAAACCGACATCGATGCCACTTGGAAAGCTAGTCCGGCGACAAAAACGTGATCTCCCGTATACGATCGTTCTTGACGAGCGGCGGCGTTTCCGGACATTCCACCGCCGACCGCTTGAATTATCAGCGAGATTACATCGCACGCTATGAAGATCCACGAGTACCAGATCGGACTCTTCAGCATCGCGAATTTGGGACCGTAGATTTTGACTAGTTTGGCCAATTGGTAGTAGATTCCTGCCATGGTAAACACAGGCGCGAGTGTCAGACAAATGTTTTGCAAGAGAAAAGTGCCGATATCACTGGTATTGTTGTGACTCAAAGCACGGCCGACGTACCCGGCTACCTCTATGCCACACGCGCACATAAACGACACACACATCCACCGTTGGCGAGTGTACAATCCTAATCCTGCTTGTAGTACGAATAGGACCCCAAAGATGGCAATCATACTGACGTTAAACGCCAGATTCGGATTCATATCTCCGTAAAGCGATATTTTACGCGGAGAAGACGCAGCGTCGTCGGCTGCATACTCCTGCACAAATGTGCGCGTTGCTAGGACAGTCATATGCACATATATTCGTGTATAGTGATTGTTTATTATATTCCCAAGACCTGGGTATTGGTCTTTTAACGACCTGCTCTCAATGTTTCCACGCTTGCGCACGCACTACCGCTTGGATCTGTTGATGGTCAACAACAGCGGACAGAGCAACTTGAATGCAATTTAGTAAGGGTGATTTTGGACTGTTGTGCACAGTAGAAGAACACTTACGAAAAAAGAAAGGGTTCGTTTTTCTCTGACTTAGCGAAAACTCCTAGTGCAGATAGGAGCTCAACCGTCGCGTTTGGAGGATTACCAACTGTATAGTGCCGTTAGGCTCTGTATTTTATAAGTGAACGCGATGTAACAATTGGAATTGCAGGTTTCCGTGGAAGATACATGCAGCAAACTCTGATGGGAAGCAAAGTTTGAAAACGGCCATTGAAGGGTCTCCATGGTGACGGCAGAAGTGACGATTGGTTGTTCAGTCGAAGAGCCAAGTATCGTAGCATAGGGTCCCATGGTAACCCATTTTTTACGTGAAAATAAATTGAGACTGTATATTGTAAAAAAAATCGAAGAGATTATGCATGAAAAAAGTGTGAGGAATTGAGAGTGGTACTCGATCTATTGATCAGTAGGAGTTGACTATCAATAAGCAAGCATTTGCGACGCATGTACACAAAGTTGGTTAGTGCACGAGTGGATGCACGGATGTGAGGTTTCAGTTCTTGTTTTGCAAGATCGGATGTCTCACGGATGCTATATCAATTCTCTCCAGCTCATGTAAGAAAACTACGTCTGAAGTGATCGTATTTTTCTATAATTCATTGATATTGCCAACAAGCATCAGGGACCACACACATCGATCTCCTAATTTCATATGTGATGCTTTACATTGATCTTCGACGTAGAAAGGTTCAAATTATTATTACTGTTTTTTGACTATATACAGGTTCTTATAAATAGCGATAGCACAATACTCAGTAAACTTCGTAGCCTCATTGTTTACTCTTACTGGCGGATTTAATGTCACTTCTGGCGATACCTGATCTGCCACACATTTCTTTGAAAATGCCATTTTGATCAAATAATTCGCTCGGCGTGCCGAATTCGGCAACCTCTCCTTTCTCCAACACTAATATTCTGTCGTAGTCGAGAATTGTGTTCAACCGATGTGCGATACACAGTATGGTACAATGCGAAAACGCTTGGGCAATACGAGCCTGAATTTTGGCATCGGTTTCGTAGTCGACGGAAGAAGTCGCCTCGTCCAAAATCAAAATTCTTGACTGTCTCACCAACGCCCTCGTGAGTGCCAGTAATTGCCGCTCGCCCAACGAGTAATTTGAACCGTCCTCTTCTACTTCCTGCTCCAAATGAAATTTGTGCAGGGCACTTAGCGACCCTTCCTTTTCATAGGTCTGAGCGCGTACCTCAGGTTCCATTTCAGCGCTTATGGCACCACTTTCAACCAACGCAACCCAGAGATCTTCATCTGAACGCTCACCAAAAGGATCCAGGTTCTTACGTACAGTGCCCCTGAACATAACAGGGTCCTGGGGAATGATTGATAGTTTTGACCGTAACTCGTGGAGACCTAAAGTGGAAATATCTATGCCATCGATAAAGATTTTTCCGGACTCCAGTTCACATATCCTGTACAGCGCACTCATGATAGTTGACTTACCTGCACCCGTCCTACCGCAGATTCCAATCTTTTCACCACCACCAATTTCCAAATTTACATTTTTTAATACCACAGGTAGTCCTGGTCTGTAGGCCAAGCTAACATCTTCAAATTCAACGGATCCATTGGTGGGCCAATCAGCAGGTGGACTCAATTCAGGCTTCCTGTAATCAGCTTCCAAAGGTAGTTCCGTGGCGTATGCAATTAATCTTTCAGTACTATTCATATCATTTTCGCCTTGTGTCATAGCTCTCAATAGCGAATTCAGTAAACCTGGCAACTGTAAAACATAAGTTAACAGTACACCTACCGATGACGGCGATATGTGAAATTGACGTGTGACACATAGTAATGTAATGATCAAGGCAAACGACATAGCAATCATATCAAGGGCAATGGAAACCCATCTTTGCAAGCTAACTACCACATAGCCTGCTTCATTCATTCTGTCAATTAAAAAGTCAGATTTTCTAGAAAACCGCTTTTCACTTTTGTATGCCCGGATAGTATCCATACCACCAAGAACTTCATTGAAGTTATTGTAGACGTGTGATCTCTGCAGTGCTTCCAATCTCTTAATTTCTCTGCTTGAGCTCTGGTAATGATCAGCAACTATAACGAAGGTCAAGATTAGAAATGGAACAGCAATTGCAAACCACGGTAGGTAGATAATGCACATGATCATAACACCGATGATATTTGAAACTTGATAGACAAATAGTCGAACACTCTCAGTGAGTTCAGAATCAACTGTATTGGTATCTTTGGTGAATCTATTGAGAATTCTTCCAATAGGAGTCGTGTCAATGAAAGACATCGGAGTATGTAACAACCGCTTCACAGCTTTCAGATTCAGCCACTTGGCCGCTGTTACTCCAATGTAACAGAGCATTGTGAACTGAGTAGTGGTACAGATGTAGTTGAAGAAAACAAAAAAAGTGTACATTCCCATATAGAACGGTGTTTTCTTGTTCTTGAACTTAAACTCTGTCCAAAAGGATAACCATACGGATGAGAATAAAAGAGTGAAGGTAGAGAGTGCCAAAAACAGCACGTAGAGCGGTAATAGGAAAAACCCTTTCTTACCAACCCCAGCGGAAATATATTCCTTGTATACTTTCCAGCTGATAGAATTGACAGCACGCTCTTCCTTCGCAGTAATTTGACCAGTATTTTGACGATTATTGTCATCTTGAAGCTGAGACCTCTTACTGAGTTGTTTTTGCAATGCTGCGGTCTCCTTTTCACTTTTCTCACGATCAAATGTTGGACGTGAAGCGCTTGGGTTCTCTTGAGGTGTATCTTCGGACTCAGAGTTCGTGGAAAACTCCATCAGGTTAACAAATCCTGCGTGTCTAGATTTTAACTCATCAACGGTGCCGACATCGACAGATCCGTCAAGATCAATGAAGATGACTCTAGACGCTCTAGAGATCAAACTCAATTGATGTGTGGCGAGTACTCGGGTTTTGTTGCCAAGCATTCCCATCAAACACTCGTCCATAATGTGCTTTCCAACTCGAGCATCGACCGCACTTAAGACATCGTCGAATAAGTAGATGTCCATGTCTCTGTATACACTCCTTGCCAGATTAATACGAGCCTTCTGACCTCCGGAAAGCGTGATACCGCGCTCCCCAATTTCGGTCCGGTCCCCAGCAGGAAGAAGATCCAAATCCGCCTGCAAAGAACAAACGCGAATAACATTCTTGTATCTGGCCTCATCAAATGGACAACCAAACAAAATGTTGTCCTTAACGGTTGCATTCTGTACCCACGAGTAACCACATAGCAACAAAGAGCCGTCTTTGTAAATGTCTCCGCCTGTCTTTTTCATAAAACCAGCGAGAGCGTTTAGTAGTGATGATTTTCCGGTCCCTACAGATCCTGTGACAATTACCAGTTCGCCTTTACCAATCTCAAAATTCAAACGGTCGAAGCCTTTGAACAATGTACTAGGACCGTCATTGACAGAACTAGACTCCTGCTTCGTGAGCGACTCTTCATACGATAACTCTTTACCAGTGGACTTGTCATCATGACCCTTCTTGCTCTTCGATTCATCCAATTGGCTTTTCAAGTTTGCTTCTTCTTTAGCCTCTTCCACTTCAAAGTTTTCCCACTGAAATGAAGCGTCCACCAATTTGACAGCAAGTTTGTCGTCTTGCAAGGGTAGCATGTGCGCTTCAATATCCTGATCATCTTCACCGGCTTGCAAGACTTCCTGGACACGACCCAATGCGATTAACCCATCAACCCCAGTACCCAAGGCCATGGGTAGAAAGAACATTTGAATGCTCAAAACTTGGAAAAGGGAGAGGGAGGAGAAAATATTAGCAGGACTTCTTCCGCCGTTGTTAACCTTGTACATGGCCAGAAAAGTTACCATCGAAGCAATGTTAGTCAGACAAACGGCCAAAGCAGTTACAAAATTTCTTGTGAACTGCATGTACCTAGTTTTGACAATCTCAGAAGAACGGATTTCTTGCACATTTTTCTCGTAAGCGTCTTCCCATGCATAAAATTTAATCATCTTCATACTGTTCAAGATTTCGCGCATAAGGGTGACTCTTGCATCTGTGAAAATGTTTGTAGCTTTGCGAACGTTGATTAGGGATTTGAAAGCCATGGTGGATACAAATCCTGCTGCGAAGAAAACTCCCACACCAACTAGGGCGATAGGACCCAGATTGATGATCAACAATACAATGCAGATGGTAATCGCAACAAAAAAGGCACCCACTAAGGGTTGAAACATAATGGCCAGTTCGAGTCTTGATAAGTCGGTGGACATAATGGAAGTAATTTTACCGTTGGGTAATTTGTGTCTAGAGTAACTTGATAATTTTAACGATTTCCGCAACATAGCCTTGATCAACACGGATTTGACCTGAACACCTGTAAGTTGGGAGTTATGGAAAAAATGATTGAAAAGAACGGCGTTCAAAAGCATCATAAGACTGGCGCCAATGGCGTATCCAACACCTTTGTTAACTTTCAAATCAGTAATCAAGGCCTTGTGTTGCACAAAAGTGAGGAGCCGTTTGGTTACCATGGGGAGAAATGCTGTAGCGGCGTTTGACAAACTCATGAACATGAACGCCATGAAATATTGCCATCTGAAAGTCCACAGCAAAGCCTTGAGAAGTGTGTGTTTCGGAAGAACTGTGTTTTCGATCACTTGCTGCGGCGTGGCGTCCGGGTGGTCTTGGGCATATTGGGCGCGCGCCTTATCGACATAATGATCGAAATGAAGGTCAAATTCGCGGGTCATAGTTTCGATGTTGATGCGTGGGTCCATGGTCCACAGATCGTTGGGCTGAAGGGTACGTTTGTACCCGACCCGGATGATCGGGAAAACGAACCAGAAGAACGTACGGTACACCCAGTTGGTATGATAGAGCGGGTAGACTTTGCGGTCCTTTTCTTCTGGGATTGGTGGAATGTCGCGGGTATGGAGTAGCGAAAACAGTCTTTTTTGTGGGTATATTTCCGAACCGGAGACTTTTTCGAGATCGTCGCTGTTGAGAAACAGCTCAGGTCTATTGGAGTCAGCCGCGCTGGGCTGACGTTTCAACTGGGCGTCGTCCGACACCAAACCATGATCTTTTTCGCTTCTTCTAGACGGTGTGTCGAGATCGCTGGAGCTCATAGCCGATTATCTCGATCGGTGGGAGGGTAATGTGAGAGAAGGCGAGAAAGACACAATTTCCCTGAGTCTGAAAAGTTTCTGTCTTGCTCTGCCAGTTTTGCCAGAGAATTTTTTATATTTTCTATGCAATTGAATTAGCTGAAGGCAGTTTTGTAGACCTAGAGAAAGCTAGAAAACACACAACCGAAAAAACACAAAAACAAAAACAAAAGAGTTTACGAACACACTAGCCTGTCGTGTATTGACAGAAATACTAGGTGTATAGCAAAACTTGTAATCTACAAACAAACTAAACCTAGTAAAACGTTATTCTTCGTTCCCACCACACACTCCCTCATCGCGATGTATATCTGTTACTGTCTTTATATATATGCATGCTAAACTTCACAATGTAATAATAATAATACAGATGGCAATTAAAGGAAACTCTGGTCACCGTATACGTACCAGCATATGTCATCTGAAATCTCCCCTCGCCGTACGTAGTGCTCAAGGTATATAGTTTGCACTGGTCTCTCAGAGACGACAGCGGTAAAATAGAACCCGAAAGCCGAGATCGATCGCGACGCACGGAACGTAGGGAACGGGGGCCAAATCACGGGTCTAAGCGGACTTACAATAAATGTGGTACGGCCGAGACTAGAGCGGTACGCAAATGTAGCGATAGCGTGGCTTGGCTTAGGGTGACCGATGAATTTCTCCGTGGAGATGCCGCGGAAGGGAGAATACGAAGAGTACAAGTATAATTGAACAATTGAGAGCGAAAGCGATCGATTGTGAACAAAGATAACTACACGTATAGTTGAACAATCGGGAGCTCAGCGATCAATTGTGAATAGTAGTGGTGAACTCTTTATAGTACACAAAGAAGCCCACAAGTATAGTAGATCAATTGTGAATGACAGTGAAGGCTGTTAATAAGTTGAACAATTGAGAGCTCAGCGTTCACTTGTGAATAGTAGAAGTGAATTTTATATAGTACACAAAGAAGACTACAAGTATAGTAGATCAATTGAGAGCCATGACTGATAGTATTTCTAAACAATTTAAAGCGTCAGCGATCAGTTGTGAACAAAGATGACTAAAAAAGTTTAACAATCGAGAGCTCAGTAATCAGTTTTGAATAACGTGATGACCATTAGTATAAGAGAACAAGTGAACGCCAGCGATCAATTGTGAATATGAGAATAGGCTATTACCATAGTTGAATAGTTGAGAGAATTAGCAATCAATCGTGAAAGAATTAGGGCTATAAAAACACCTGAACATCGATGTCTATCACTATAGTTTTCAAGGCTCGACTACGTCAGCAGTGTTTGATTTGTTAAACTGCTTCGTTTGCTCAGTCATGATTTATGGATTCTACTTATTTCTCCCTAGTTCTTTTCGGTTATATGTTTGATACATTCTGTTAGACCACCTACGAACATTTAGACGATTTTTGAAGCAAAAATAGCAAACAATCGGTAACGTTCTGAAACTCAGCCATTATTGAAGATTACTAAATGGAAATCCTGGATTGCTGGCAAATTCCGTATATTGTTGAGGCATCGTTGCTTCATATCTTTACGGTTGGTACATTTCACCTCAGCGCTTAACATGGCATTCCTGATTACGCAATTTGCACTTTCCCATATAGTTTACCAACCCTTACAATAGTTGAACCAGGACTGAGGACGAATCACGAATCCAGGCGCGAATCCGGCTTAATTAATTCAGCCAGCATCCAAATGTTTACTTGTTCATCTAAATCTATAAACATGTGAGAGTCTTATAGTTTTCTCCTCCCCCCATGTCTTTAAGCCGCAACTTAAGTTGTTTTGAGCAGCAGCACGCCAGATGAGAGCGTCAGCGATCAATTTTGAACAAAAGTGATGGTTATAAGTTTAGCTGAACCATTGAGAGCATCAGCGATCAGCTGTGACTATCGGGGCTTTGAGCATTGCTGAACAAGTGATCACTGACGCTATACTGACGCCCTCAATTGTGAACAGCCATGATGGCTATCGGCATACATAAACAATTAACAGCATCAGCGATCAGTTGTGAATATTCCAAGCACTGTAATAATCATGTCCAATCCTGTGTGCTCCTGGCCATCACCACTATGACACTATCTAGGCCAATAATACTTCATCTTCTGGGTCATTGCTTTTCGCCACAGAATAACTTCGATCACCAAAAAGCGCTATCAGACGAATCATGGTCGTTTGTATTAAACTTCTTGTTGGTTAGCATATCGTTTACTTGGCTACTAGTGTTTCAAAAGCATACTTACCCAAGAGCACCTTTATCTGTCCCATCCGGTGCTTCTTTTTCAATTCTTGGTAGTTTGAGCTGGGACAGGTCAGTATGCTTGCAGTATTATTCAAAGTTGATCAGACTATGCGCGATAAGCTCAATAGTCTAGAGGGAAACAGCCCAGATCAAGATCTAAAATTTCTAATTTAACAAACATCAAAAGTAGTAAAAAATCCTGTGGATGATCAGACCCAAATGCTACCGCTGACGCTGCTCGTGAATTTGCCAGTCAGTATTTACGCACCAATGTGGCCAGTAGTTGAGCAATTGAGAGTGACGGGGATCAGTTGGGGGTGTTGTAGGCCCTGTATTAACATCAGCTCTACAATTCACAGCGCCAGCGATCAGCAACCAGAAATAATGACTGTTAGCATAGCTGAAGAATTGAGCGTCCGTGATCAATCAGGATCACTATCAGCACTCTTGGAAAAGAATGTCAGCCATCAGTTGTGAATTATTGATATTGAAATATACATGATATAGTCTCAGCGATCAGTTTTGAAGAGTAAAGATCGCTATGGAATTGTAAAATGCAGAGTGTGGGTAGTTGAAAGAAAAGTTTTAGGGCCCTTTATGTGACGGGAGAGGAATTTACCTTTTGAGACACCAGCTGTCAAAAAGGAATAAAGTGATCAGTTGTCTCACGTGACCGCGTGTCAGCGCAGAAGCCTTTTACTCGAAAGGCAGAGTCAAGCGTAACAGTTCTCTAAGAACTGTGACATTTGGCTCGAATTTTTGGTTCTCCCCATCTTCAGACTTAATGGTGTGTGTGCCAAGAGTAATTAAATTCACATGTAATACCACTCTTGACGAATACTCAAGAGCTTATCACTGTAACCACTGGCATAGCAATGGTTTGTTCGAGAAGAACCACTGAGTTCTGCAGCTGGTTTTTAAACCTATTGGTACACACCTCTTGGAACTTAAAATACGTCTGGTATCCTTCTCATATCCAGCATCGGATTCAATGCAGGATGATCATAAACACGTAATCAGACGTCACGACAAGAAGCGGGGGAACTTCAAGTCACCAGTTGTTAAATAACCACGGCGTCAATAGCATAAAGTGGTACCTGATTGAATTGAAAGTCTGCAATAGTCTTGTCATTTCAGGCAATTTTCAGTTCATACCTGTCGAATAAGTGCGATCGCGAGCAATGAGTAGTGACCAACCTAGAGATAGTTACATGCAGAGACGAACAGCGGATCTGAAACTCTTGAGCCCTCATTGACCCTTCTTCAGTCACAACGGACTTCTGAAACTCTCAATTGTTCGGTCCCTTTTGTTGTTTGCTGGAGTCATCATCAAGGACCGGAACGGTTATCGTACCAAGACGCTCTGGACATTCACTCTTATCCTCAAATATATTGAAGTCAGTCCATCTTAGTCTCAGCCAAATATCTAAAATGCTAGCAGTAATGCTAAGATCAGAGACCGTTAAAATGTCATCAGCTTCTCTCACTTCTGACTCAAATGTTCTTCAATCAATACACAGATGTATCCAGATGATTCTTGCGTTGATTCTAGCGTTTATGTGCATATTCATGGATTAACTGAAATATGTTCTAGCGTATGTGGTCAGTGGTGTAGTAAAGGATTCAATGGGAACAGTTATTATTGGCACTGACACTGATCATCGTAGAACAACAAAAAACCGACAATCGCGTTTGTTGAGGAATTTTCTATATGCTCTAGAAAGCTTTTTACCGTTAAGAAATAACCACAAGTTGGCAAAGAGAGAGCTTCAAGTGCATCCACCACAATGCCCATTGTGAAGAGTGTCAGAACCTGTGTCTGTCTAGCGTCAGATCCATGATAAGGTGATCACATACACGTGACACGTGACACGATGACAGCGATAGTAGAGTTAACAAAATATTCAAAGTATATAAAACTACTACTTATCTAACGGGAACGACATCGATTGAACCAATTGGCACCACTTGAAACTAATCTTATAGCTCCTCTATCAGCCCATTCCAGCCATTTGCACTCGGAATACTTGAAAAATTTTATATCCGTTAGCAACGAAACATTTCCAAGAATTTGTTGATGAAGACGCGTTCTATCCACTTTACACGCTCATTATATTTATGCTAAGTATGTCATGGAGGGATAACTCCATACTAAGTAAAACAACTGGTTACACCTTACAGTAATGGATAGGATCATCCAAGATGTGGGACGTTTATCATGCAAAGACACTCTAGAGACAGAGTCTCAACACGAGTATAAAAAGTTCACCAATGAGCTGTTGACAATCCCAATACCGGTGTATCAGAAATCCAAAATAGAGGGCGAACAAATGGAATAGTACGGCCATAGGACAAAAACACTCTCGCTTGATTATTTGACGAGTTATAGTGATTAAATCTGTTCCTCCAAGCGTCTTGGGTCCCATATCTTTGATAATTCTTTCCATTACTGAGGAATGTAAACTATCGTTGTTTGAAGTTACCTCTCCGAGTGTGCGTGTGTAGTGAGATTGTAGACTGGAAGAGACGACCGTTCTTATACAATTTTCGGAAAGTGTTTAGTCACAAGTTTTCCGAGAGCATTAACGCATAGGTTTTGCCATCAAGTGTGAGTAGCGGACACATTTCGAGATCAGCTTTGTGTAAGATAACGTAAGCCTAGCAAGTACAGATTAATAGACCTTTTATTCGAAATCAGATTCAAATGTGGAGCATGAAAATTTAGCACCTTCATTCACGCAAGTATCGATAGTCCGCAAGAACACAAGACCAGATGGGTTATAGCTCCAATTCTGGTAACATTAAATCACGTCATATTCCAGCACTCCATTTGCTAACAAACCTCTGTTGAAGGCACGAAATGAAGAAGTCCACTATGTCGTGACCATGCTATGACGCCGGACGTATAAGAAAGGAAGTAGTCGGGAAAGCCCGCCAATTTACATTGTTTTTCAATCAGATATCCCAATCCTTAAAAATTTATTCATGAGCTAATCCGCTTTCAAAGGGAATGACGGCCTCCTGTGCTTAATCAACATCTCTTGCCCATTTTCAAATGAGAAAATGTAAAGTGTCGGAGCCAACAAGATCCATGTTGTCCATCACAAAAGGGTTAAACTCAGCTTGTCTGCCATTCTCGACGACCGACTCTGGGAAAAAATTGGTGACATATGTCAGGCTCTGGAGTTGTTTGTGAGTTAACGTCACTTCTTGATCAAATTTCGACCTGAACGTCTTGCGCAGAACATTAATGAGGTATTTGAAATTGCTTGAAAAGTCTGTAGCTGCAAAATGTGACTTTTTCGAATCTCCTTTTTCTGTTGCCGAATCTTGAGTCTCAGGAGATGACCCAATGTCCGAGGATTCCATGCAATTGATAAAATCGCAGTATACGCTCGTCATTAGCTTCACGTCAGCTTCAAATTCAGTGGCAATTTCTTGTTTAGCAAGTGTGTAAATGAAAATCTCGAAAAATGCCAGATTTATAGACCACTGGAAAGACTTGAAATAGTTCGCTAGATTGAGTTCAGATATTGCTAACGCGTAGGAAAGCATGGTCCTTGCGGTTCGCACGCCTTCGTAGACGGGGGCTTCTTTAGAAAGTCCTATCTCTTTCATGTATCCTTGTGTTTTGAAGATCGCCCTCTGTATGAAAATCAAATTCGTGAAAAATCCGAATTGGATGTTGAAAATAAACAGTCTTGTCATTGCCGCTGGCAAATCACTACTCCTTACGAGTTCTGTCAAAGCCGAGCTTATCGGAGGATCAAATGGTCTCATGCCTGCTGGAAGTGAAACTCTAAAATTTTCCATCTCCTTTAGAAGCGCATTAGCACTTCGAAGTTGTTTAGCAATGTTGGTAGTCGCTGATGGTGCATATAAGTCGCTGTATATGCAGGAACTAATGTAGACATTTCGGCAGGCATAGTATCCGCCAAAGACGTCAAACCCAACTTCCCTCATAACGAAGCTGTACATATTCCGTGCAAATGCAAGTTGGCACGCAGGTGGTTCAGACGCCGCTGCCAGTGTGGCATCCGCCAAAAGTTCCACAGGAGTACAGATAGGCCCAAAAATCGCCGTGGTGTCGTAATGGGCTACAACCGGAGGCTTTCCTAGGATTACAGAGACTTTTTGGTCAAAATAGCGACATACACCCCATATTTTTCTTCGCTTGCCTGCTTCTTCAAACGTTAATCCCTCGTAAGAAATCTCGGCATGAAGACCCAAATGTTGAGCCAAGCGAACGGCCAAGGTAACCATCATGTACGATGCGTGCAGAGCCCCTGTGACGTCGGCGTATGCCATGAGTGCCAAGAATGATTGAAGAGTGTCAATTCCTTCCGGTATTATAGCGACCTGATGATAATGGAATAATGCATTGGATATGAAGGTGTCTTCCAGTTCTCGCAGTTTGGTATTGTTTTGAACGAAACCCGCTACACGCCTGGGGATACCCTCGACCTGCGTTCTGTGGAAATGTTGCTGAAAGTGACTGACCAATGCAAATGCCACATGTAATGTGATGGAATGCGACCGACTGAGACTTCGGAGCCCGTTGCTGAGAAAGTTCGCGAAGATCGCCGATACCGTGTCCGCCGATATCAAAGAAAGCGTTTCAAGCCCCGACTGATTGAAAATCTCGACCAGGGTCTCCAACACCTCGGCTTCTGGTAGCGGTTGCAAATTCAAAGGTACCGGAAATAAAGTTTCCGAAATCTTATCGTGCATAAAGGTGGTGTACCATCTTGAGAGGTACTCAATCTCTTCATCACAATGCACACTTTTGAGCCGGATCCATTGTAGGCCTCGTGGTGAAAGGACTGAATAGGACAGGAAGACCCCATAATCCACACTCAGTCCGCTGTCTGGAACCTCCGGAGTTTCCGAATTCACTGCGGAATCGCCCGAAAGAGACACCGTTCCAAGATTTGACTCACTAGAGGTTTGTTTCTGGTCGATGCCCTTGCTTTTATGGAGTACAGCACTTGCAAGCACGTCTAGAGAGCTCATGCGTGGCATAGAGATGCCTGCTATTTTACTGTCATCCGGGCTCAGAACCGCTCGACTGCCACTTGTCCTCGATTTTTTTCTGGAATTTCTGTGTCGTGGCCTCCGACCAATCCTTTTCTGTACACTGCTAGCTACGCCAATAACCTGTTGTTCCAAGGATTCTATTTTCTTCAGAATTTTGTGAAATTGATCAGCTTTATTAGCAGTAGAGGGCTCTTTTGGACTGCTTTCTTCTAAATGATCATATGCCATGTTTTTTATTTCACTAACTTCGTTGCTAGACTCAAAATTAAACCATAAACCATCGTACTATGAAGCAACAAGTTCACAACTCTTCTTTAACCTGCCGATATCTTATAGTTGATGCACTTGCCTATTCTTCCTTCAGCCTTTAACATAGCACTTACTCTGTTGTCCTCTAAAATCATATAAATTAGCCATGTTAAGTTTCAACTCATCGTACAAGAAGATATTTAAAATATCTGAATTTTATTGTATAGAAAAGTTTTCGACTGTAACAAGAAACACAGCTTGAAAGACGTATACAAAACCATAGAAGAAGTGTCTCGGACCTAGAGATAAGGCGTATTTCGTGGAAACTCTGAATCTGTAACAGTGGTTTATTCAGGCAGTTCTTTTTCCCACTTTTTTGCGACCAAAATAGCGGTTTGATTTTTTTACGCACCAATGTCTGCACTTCCAGATGACGTCAATAGAACTTTGATCGAGGTGTTGAACGGGTTTTCTTCGCCTGTCAATACCATTAGAGCAGAGGCAGAGAACACGCTGAACAGAAATTGGATTACACCTACGAACATCGATGTTTTGTTGATGTTTTTGGCTGAACAGGCCTCGTTTTCTGGGGAGCTCACGCTGGCTGCACTTTCGGCTGTCCTATTCCGTAAATTGGCACTGCGAGCTCCACCATCATCCAAGACTGTAATTATTGCCAAAAATATCACACATATCAACGAATCCGTGCTAGCACAAATTCGTAGCACTCTTTTGAAAGGGTTTGTTACTGAGAGACCCAGTGGAATTCGTCACAAACTGTCAGATGCCATCGCAGAATGTGCACAGGAAGACTTGCCCGACTGGCCAGAACTGCTTCCTGCGCTCTTTGAAGCCATCAAAAATCCTGATCCCAACTTTCGTGAGTCCAGTTTCCGTATCTTTACATCCGTACCACATCTTATCAATGCGGTGGATATCAATAGTGTGCTTCCCATTTTTGAAGCCGGGTTTACCGACGTTGACGACAACGTCAAAGTTGCCGCTGTCACATCATTCGTGGGATACTTCAAACAACTTCCAAAGCAACACTGGTCCAATCTTGGGGTGCTTTTGCCAAGCCTGTTGAACAGCCTTCCGAATTTTCTCGATGACGGTAAGGATGATGCGTTGGCTTCTGTTTTTGAGTCGCTGATTGAATTAGTTGAATTGGCCCCTAAGCTATTCAAGTCTATGTTCGACCAAATGATTCAGTTCATCGATATTGTGATCAAAAATAAAGATCTGGAAACATCAGCCAGGACCACTGCGCTCGAACTTTTAACGGCTTTCAGTGAAAGTGCGCCACAAATGTGCAAAACAAACCCCAATTACGCACAGTCCTTGATCATGAATGCGCTCATCATGATGACGGAAGTGTCAATTGACGATGATCAGGCGTCAGAATGGCACAATTCTGATGATACGGAAGAAGATGATGAAGAAGTGACTTACGATCACGCACGTCAGGCTTTGGATCGTGTTTCCCTCAAGCTGGGTGGTAAAGTCCTCGCTCCACCGCTCTTTCAGTACCTCCAACAAATGGTAACATCTACTGAATGGAGAGAAAGGTTCGGTGCTCTAATGGCACTATCGTCTGCCGCTGAAGGATGCCGGGACGTCTTAATTGGTGAGATCGCCAGGATTCTTGATATGATCATTCCTCTAATTAACGATCCTCACCCCAGAGTTCAGTATGGCTGCTGCAACGCTTTGGGTCAAATCTCAACAGATTTTGCCCCTCTCATTCAAAGGACCTCTCATGAGCGTATCATCCCTCCATTAATCTCCAAGCTCACTCCCCAGTCTGTTGACCGTGTCCAAACGCATGCTGCAGCTGCTCTCGTGAACTTTTCAGAACATGCCACTCAGAGCATTCTGGAACCTTATTTGGACGACCTTTTAACAAATCTACTAACTCTCCTCCAGAGCTCTAAATTTTATGTGCAGGAACAGGCTTTGACAACAATCGCTTTCATTGCTGAAGCAGCGGAAAAGAAATTCATCAAATATTATGATACTTTGATGCCGCTGTTGATAAACGTTCTAAAAACCGATATGGGTAGCTCCAACAGATTACTGAAAGGTAAATGTATCGAGTGCTCTACTTTAATTGCACTTGCTGTGGGCAAAGAGAAATTCATGACTCAGTCACAAGAGCTAATTGAGCTCTTTATCCTCTATCAAAATCATGGTATTGAAGATGATGACCCTATCAAATCTTACTTAGAGCATGGTTGGAGCAGAATATGTCGTATTCTCAGAGAAGATTTCGTGCCACTTTTACCAGTTGTGATACCACCCTTGTTAGAAACTGCCAAGGCTACGCAGGATGTTAGCTTGATCGAAGAAGAGGAAGCCGCCAACTTTCAGCAGTATTCCGACTGGGACGTTGTCCAAGTACAAGGCAAACACATTGCAATTCACACTTCTATTCTCGATGACAAAGTGTCGGCAATGGAGCTTCTACAGGTTTATACAACCATTTTGAAGAACTACTTTGCTGTCTATGTGCCAGAGATTATGAAGGAAATAGCTGTTCCTTCCATAGACTTCTATTTGCATGACGGTGTCAGAGCCACAGGTGCAGGCCTCATCCCAGTGCTGCTCTCCGCGTTGACCTCAGCGACTGGTGTTCAGAATAACGAAGTTTTGGAGCTGTGGCATCTAGCGTCGAATAAGCTGTTGAACGGCATAATGATTGAACCAATGCCTGAAATAACACAGATCTACCACACCGCATTGGTGGATGGTCTCGCGATTATTGGCGAAAACAGCCTGAACAATGAACAGCTAACACAATACACAAAAGGCATCTCTGCGAATCTTTCGGACATCTACGAACGTGTCAAACAGCGCCGTAGCGAAGAAGATGAGTACAACGAAGATGTAGACGAAGATCTGGAAGACTACACCGATGAGGACCTCCTAGACGATATCAATAAGTCTTTGGCTGCTGTCTTCAAGTCGACCAGAGGGGCTTATCTTGAGCAATTTCAAGCACTATGGCCTCTGGTTATTACTTATTTGAGGGACGGTCAAGTAATTTTGACGCTGTTTGCTCTTTGCGCCATTGGGGATATGGTTGAAAACGCAGGAAGTGCCACAGAGCCTTTGAAGGCAAATTTCATCAATGAAGTTAAGGATTTTCTATTGTCAGCTGATGCCTCGATACGCCAGGCAGCATCCTATGTGATAGGTGTCTGCGCTCAACACAGTCGTGAAGCCTACGCGCAAGAATGCCTGGAATCTTTGAGTACACTTACACGTGTGATTTCTATTCCAGATTCAAAATCAGAGGAGAACGTCACGTCGACAGAAAACGCTAGTTCTGCGGTTGCCAAGATTTTGCACAGCTTTGGTAGCAGCGTACCAAACTATGAGACGTATGTTGCAAGCTGGTTAAAGTCATTCCCAGTGGTTCAAGACGAAGAGGCAGCAGCTTTTAATTATAGATTTTTGGCACATCTGATCGACAACAACTCGCCTTTGGTCACCAATGCAGCCACGATTCCGGACATTCTCGATTATGTCGTCCAGGCTCTTCGTCACCGTTCGCTCGTGGGGAGAAATGCCACTGCCGTCGTTGAATCTACGAAAAAGCTTCTTGGCTCTTTACCTCAAAACGAAGCGATGGCTTTGTTTCAAAGGTATCCCCCTGATGTGGTCCAGGAGATCCAGCACTGGTTTGCATGAGCATAGGCGCCTCAGCTTTGTATAATTTTCCCATTGAATTTGTAGACTGCATAACATAATGAACACACTTCCGCATAGAGACGTATTGACGGGTTTTGTTACGTCCAGGATAATCCTAGCAAACGCGTAAGAACAACATACTATCGAAGAACTTTAGTTAATGCTAGGTCCTAAGTCGAACCCTCCCAAATCACGATAGACAGGTTGATTACCTTTATACAAATCTCACAAGTGACGCTGTCACTACTGTTACTACTGTCATTACTGTCACGTGATTTATACAAAACTGCAAATCACCATCAGATGTCTAGTTGAGAAATTCAACGGCGATGCCAAAGATCCGAACCCTTTTGAACATCTCTTTCTTATCGTAATAACGCTAAGAAACGTTAGACAAGTGCCATTCATCATGAAACTTTACATATCACACTAGATTCCATATTTCGTGGTTGGTGATCGTCAACCGCGGTAAAAAGTAATGAAAAATTTGACCGCGATGAGATGGGATGAGATGAGATGAGATGAGATGCAACAAATCCAATATTGGTACCACACATCAGCGAAGGTTGGTAGCTTAGGTATCTCCGTCAAATTGACTTTGGAATTGTTAGAGTACTGAAACTTGGCAATGGGTTTGGCAGCCGTTAAGAATAGACAGAAACTTGGCTTTGATCCGAGAAATACCAACTGGAGCAATGATACGTCGAGGTTCGGTCACAAACATCTCGAGCAGATGGGCTGGAAACCTGGTTCTGGGCTTGGTCTCATGCCCAACTCCACAACTTCTCATGTTAAGGTGTCGATAAAGGATGATAACCTTGGTCTTGGAGCAAAACTCCGTAAGAAACAAAAGACGGATGAGTTTGACAGCGGAGAGTGTGCCGGTTTGGACGCGTTTCAACGTTTATTGGGGCGTCTCAATGGTAAGGAAGAAACTGTCTCCAACGAACTCGATACCCAGAAAAGAGACAATATTATAAACGGGAAATGGGGTATCCATTTTGTAAAAGGCGATGTTCTAGCCAGCACTTGGGATGCTAAAACTAAGACCCTGAAATTATACAGTAACGAACTAGCCAAGCGCTCTAGATCAGATGAAGATGACGAGCAGTGCAAGTCCTCGAAAAAGAGCAAAAAGAACAAGAGGGATAAGAAGGACAAGAAGGACAAGAAGGACAAGAAGGACAAGAAGGACAAGAAGACAAGATCTTCAGAAAAGAAGGACCAGCTAGTCCAATCTAGTAGCGATAACGAGGCAGAGGCAAAATCTCGGAAAGACAAGAAAGACAAGAAAAATAAAAAGGAAAAGAAGGTTAAAAAGGCTAAACAGGAAAAGAAGTCTAAAAGCAGGGAGGATAAGAAGCGGGATAAAAGTAGCAGGGGCAGCAAAAGCGAAGAGATCACTCGTGATGCAATGCTGAAACCAAAATCTGAAAGTAACGACAACATCGTATCGAGATTATCTGTGCGTTCCAAATGGATCAAACAGAAAAGAGCCGCTGTGATGGATGCCAAAGCGTTGAACGAAATTTTCATGATCGCGAGTTGACAATATACCAAACTACACTAAACGAGGTTCGATTATACAGCGGTGATAAAGTGATGGCGAAATGGCGAGCGTCGGAATAACTGATGGCACGGTAAATCATAAGCATTTGATGATTGGCAACTGTGATCCGCCATTTCGTTGCAACATTTCATGTATGGGGAAGCGTCGGTGCTGTTAACAAATTTTTAGGATCTCAGCGCCAGATGGGACCATGGCTTTATAGCAATATCCTTCATTTTTTTATCGAGCAGGCCACATTACCTCCAAATTCGTTAACATGAGTGACAATTTCATGTGCGATCGCCAAAAACGTGTTTCCAGTTTGTTGGTAAAGCCGTACCGAGAACATGGTTGAGGGAAGAGTTGTGATTATGCCAACAAATAGATATCTGTTGCACTTGATTATTTGCTCGAATGACTCGATTGTAGTCATTTGATAGTTACAATTTCAAGATTCAAAGCCTATCTGCCAAAAAAAATTATGCGCTTCGCTTGAGATCGAAGTATTATAATGACAGTCTATAACACATAGATACGGAATGGATTGGCTTCAATCTCAATAAAGTACACATTTGATAGATCATGGCTCGAGACTATGTTCTGTAAATAGATTCGGCAGCAGTAGACACGCTGCATATACCGGAAATCAGATAACAGAGTGTTTCATAAGATGAAGCACAATCTGTACTTCACCCGAGGGGTCACTGCGTCTCAGTTATCCATTAAACTATGACGGAAATCATACCCACAGAAGCCATAACGAGAGAAACAGAGAACAGCCATAGCCCAGCTGAAGAAATCGGTTCTACTCGTAGACCAGCGGATGACTTCTTGCTGCTAGTTGATGAAGCGCTACTGCTAGAGCCGCTTCCAGAAGAAGAACCTGAGCCGTTCGAGCTCGAAGATCCACTACCTCCGCTCGCACTGGCTTGTGCTGAAGCAGAGGATAACTTTGTTTGACATGACGAAGCTTGACTAGTCGATGACGCCAACGATGCCGATCCGTCGAAAGAGCAAGCCGATTTTGACTTTCCATTAGACTCGTAGTACTTGTTTAGCAGAAAGGATAGCTTGACGGAATTGTCACAGAAGGAATAGGCACCGTAGCTGCCCTTCTCACCATCAGCACTAATATCCCCGCAATCAATTTTGCCACACAGAGTTTCGTATAAATCACCGTAATCTTTACTGTCGACGCTGTCACTAATAACACATGATAGACCACCCTGTAGACAATCGCACACATCCTTATCTGGTGTAGGTGGGAGAGAAGTAGCAGCCTTCCAATTTGAGTTGGTGGCAGGACATGAGAGAGAAGTGGAGGAAGGGCTGTAGGAATTCATTTGGACGGCAGAGGGAGATACAGAAGCCAGCTGACTCTTCAAGTTATTGTAGTCGGACAGAGTATTTACGTTTTTGCCGTCGACCGAAACTAGCCCATATTTGTTTGCCTCTTCGAAATACATGTAAACGATTCCTCCTGACCAAACATCTGTCATATCCTTGCCATACAATGTACCAACTTCTTCAAACTTTCTTGGTGATTGAGCATTGCAACCATATTCCGAGAAAAAGGCAGGAATACTTAAATTACCAAAGTCCTTTGTTCTGTCCTCGTAACCTGACTCTTGGAAAGTTGATGAGCCGCACCACTCATACATGTTAATACCGAAGAAGTCAGCGCGAACGTCCTCATCGCCGCAAGCAAAATAGTCGGCCATTGGAACTCTAGTATCTTCATCGTCATTAGACGAATATCCGACAGGGATATCTCTATAGCCCTTATCTTTGATGTACTTCTTGGTGTCCCTAATGGCAGCCTTGACAAAAGGGGAGGCATTCGTGTTAGACTTGTTGTTAGTGACTTCATTACCTGCAAAGAAACCCAATACATTTGAGTAGTTGGCCATTGCGTCGATGACGCCCGTATAACGCTGGTAAAGGTCCAACGTCCAAGCTGGAGAGTCCCTGTTAATGGACTCCGATGGCTCAGACAGATCTGCGATGACATAGATCCCCGCCTTGCCGAAAGCTTCCATACATTTGCTGTGATCCAAAGAGGTGTTCAGAGCATAAACACGAACAACGTTGGTCTCAGCACCAAGCAAATATGGCAAATCTCTCGAGCAGGTGTCGTAATCTGCCAGTGGATCGACAATATCATCGGATGTGGAGGAGGAGTTGGCTGTGTCAGCTTGATATGCAACACCTTTCATATAGAATTGGGTTCCATTGTTGGAGTAAAAGAACTTGCTTCCCTTTACCTGGATGGCTGGCGTATTGGTGAAGTTACCGCTGTTGTCATCGGCGATGACAACACCTGATGTGCAGAGAAGGCAAACTATACTAGCCACCAGGTTTCCTAACATATCAAATTTTCTATAGACCAAGCTCTGTTAATCAGTATATTTGAACTCAATTGCTGCGTCAATATGGATAACTGCCGGGCCGCTGGAGACAAATGTAGACACACTCCTATATATATATATATATACATAAACACATGAAACCTCTCGATTAACCGACGGTGAGAACATCTGAGAGTATCTGTGTCGCGTTACTCGCCATGATTGTGCGCGAAACGCGAGAACTGTCTTTCGTCGCCAAATAAAAAAGTTTCAACAAAGCGAAATCAGCCCAGTAAGGCTTCTCCCGTTACTACTGAGAGCTTTTGCCAGTATGTCAAAATGTTCTCATACAGAACTGGAAAAATACAGCCCCACAATATGGGTCTAGAATCTCTTGTCTCACAGCATTTGGCTTGTTATAGCTTTGAAACGCAAGGGTTCGAGACATCTAGATCTTTCGTCTATATTTGACAATATTTACTTTCACTGTCAATAAGTGAATGATATTTACGAAAGCGTAAGTCTTCTTAGACGAAGGGTGTCTGGCCAAGATAGCCAAGAATGAACAGGGCCTCGCTCGAGACCGATCACGAAAACAGGAGGGCTAGAACAATTAGCATTGGCTCAGCACGGCAACTACGTCTCTAGCACCGTCAAGTTGTTGCGATCGCGTTGAGAGAGAGGTCGATTGCTTCATTTTTATACATTTAAGAGCAGAAACAAAACTATATAAGCACAACTTGACATATAGGCGAGCCATCACCGGTCACTTCCCAAACTAGTACAGTTTGGGATGCTATGATGGTTCACAGTGTGTTTGGTTATTCAAGCGATAACGAAACCAACACCGGCGGTAGCACCAATGACGACCAAAGCGGTCATGAAAACCTTGGCCAAGGAGTTTTGAGTGCTTGAAACGGCAGCGTTCTTTTTGCCAGATCCACTAGAGCTGGCGCTGGCGCTAGATCCGGAAGCAGAGCCAGATTTGGAGGCAGATCCGGATGCGGATCCAGATGATGAGCCGGAGTTGGTAAAGGATGAAAGACCACTGGCAGAACCTGTGCCAACGGATCCAACCTGGCTCAGAGCAGATGAGCAGGAAGAAGCAGTGGTGGCAGACTGCAGAGAAGCAGACCCGCTGAAGTCACAAGCGGACTTGCTTTTGCCGTTCTTCAAGTAGTAGTTGTTCAACACAAATGATAGCTTGTCTTTAGCATTGCAGAACGAGTAAGAGCCATAAGTACCGTTGGTACCGTTGGCAGTTATACCATCGCATGAGATTGTGCCACACACAACGCCAAACAACTCACCGTAGTCGTCCTCGCTGACACTATCATCGACAACACAGTTCAACGAAGAAGACATACAGTCACATAGAGCGCTGTTTGGAGTAGGTGGTAGACTGGTAGCGGCCTTCCAGTTAACGTTTGTAGCTGGGCAGGACAAAGATGTGGAGGAAGGAGTGTAAGAGTTAGAGTTCAGCGATGTTGGGGACACCTTGTTGATGGTTACTGAGTAATAGCTGTAGTCGGACAAAGTGCTGACCTTGTTATCGGACACAGAGACCAACCCATAGTTGTTCTCTTCTTCAAAGTACATGTACACGATACCACCAGACCAGATGTCAGTCATGTTAGGGCCGTACAAAGTACCCACTTCCTCAAACTTTCTGGGCCTGCTTTCAATACAGCCGTACTCAGAAAAGAAGAGTGGGATGGTCAAATTGGAAAGTTCTTTGGTTCTGTCGGCGTAACCAGAAGTTTGGAAAGTAGACTCCCCACACCACTCATACATGTTGATACCATAAAAGTCTGCTTTGGCATCGTCGTCACCACAAGCAAAGTAATCAGCCATAAAAACTCTGGTATCTTCGTCATCATTGGTTGAGTATCCGACAGGAATGCTTCTGTATCCTTTGTCTTTGATGTAAGCCTTAGTGTCCCTGATGGCAGCCTTCACGAAGGCAGAAGCATCAGTGTTCGATCTGTTGTTCGTGACTTCGTTACCTGCGAAAAATCCAAGGATGTTGGTGTAATTGTGAAATTGATCGACAACAGAGGTGTACCGTTCGTACAGTTCCACTGTCCACGATGGGTCATTTCTGTTGATAGATTCGGATGGCTGCGATAGATCGGCAACAACATATATACCGGCGTCATTCAAAGCCTGCATACACTGGGTGTGGTCCAAACTGGCGTTCAGGGCATACACACGAATTGTGTTGGTGTCCACAGCTTGCATGTAAGGAATGTCTCTGGAACAAGCAGCGAAATCAGCGAGAGGATCGCTGAAGGTATTTCCCTGTGTGGTGTTGGCACTGTCCTGTTGGTACGCAATACCCTTCATGTAGAATTGAGAGCCATTGTTCGAGAAGAAAAACTTGTTTCCCTTGATTTCGATAGCTGGCAAGTCAGCTGCGGAGACTGTGCTAGCGAGCAAGGAGCCCAAAGATAGTGCTGCAATCTTGTTGAACAGCATCTTCCTGTGTGCTTTCCGAGTTTTGAAGATCGCGATGTTACAAATTCTCAAGTGTCGAGTATATTTTCTGACAAACAACTATGGTTGTGAAATCTCCATCATACTTCTAGCGGCCTTTTATTATTCAAATGGAACCCGCTTCGAAAGAAAAACCTCCAATCGGGGCTTCGAAATTCGTGGCCCGGTCCTAAGCTAAGCAGAGTGGCAGCACAGTACATAACTGTAGTCGAGCTAGTTATCACATTTTTCGCGTTGCATGAACATGCCGTTTATCATTAAAGCCAGTCAGCTAGACAGGCCCGTGCTTAAAGTCGATGTGGTGCCAGAAAGCCGAAATGGAAGTGCCTGCCTTTCTTGAAAAATTTGTTTCAAGCGGGTAACAGTCAGGTAACTATTTTAGGATCAACACGGCAACTGTACTACCTTCACCTCTCAAGTCGCCCCGAAGCACCCAGGTGCACCGTGCCCCGCCTACATCATCACAAATTCGCGATAACGCTTCTTGCAAGGCTATGAGCTCGGCTATTGCGTTTACACCTTTCGCTACGGCTCATCAACAGGCTAACCTTACACGTATTCCTCTAGAGTAGTCGATAGACAAACGAGCATTAAAACAAAACAATCTTTGCATGTTAGCTTCCCGTTTTCGCGCCTGCGTGGTTTTCCGTCAACTGTCAAGTCCAGTGACGACCGTTTTTTCGGGTAGCTTTTTTTCCTATTTTAGTCAACTTCTCAGAAATGCGGGGGGCTGTCCCAATGAATACGGCAGCGAGCAGCGGTACAATGAGGTAATTTACAGTAACTGCTGAGCGCCTCATTTTGGAATGGGATTGCCTATCTAGTTACCAAATCTGGGCCATACACCATAGGGAGAGAGCCAGGTGGTCACATGCTACGAAAGCCCACGATATTAAACCACATGACCAATGCGTCGGCGCATAATAACTGGTCGTCCTTCGCTTCAAATAAATGACTGACTGAGCTGCTTGCATGGGCGTCCACTTAGAGTGAGTGAACTTTATGCAACGGTCTTGAACACTGGCATCGGGGGTGAAGTGGTGAGAATATTTGCTGGCGCCCTTGATCCCGTATCATTATTGTCCTGGCCATAAGGCTGGAAAAGACCCTCCAGGTGTGTCTCTCGGAAAAATTCAGGTCCTTCAGGCATATACCGCGAGACAAAAAATGGACTCACCAATAGTCCGAGGAAAATCAGCAACATCGAAAAATGGAGTAAAAAGTATTTCCGCACTATGCGACTTCTCTTTCGTTTCTGTTTCTTGGTATATGCTAGCTTGTTGGAGACTAGACTTTTTGGCTTCATCCAGAACAGGATCACCGAGTGCCAGTGATTGACGAATGGTGTGCACACTAACGGGAGCTGGACGAACATAAGCATATGCCCCAAAATAAAATCGCTGGCGAAAAGACTGCATTCGATACTTTTCACAAATAGCTCACGTGTAGGCTGCAGCACTACCGACCAACCCATGCCCGTGTTGTACCATTTTCCAGACCACCAGGCCAAATGGGACTTATTGTTCTTGTACTCCCTCGTCAAGAAAAGTACTGTAAACACTTTGAACAACAGCTCTTGAAAGTTGATAAAGGCTATCAGAAGGAGAAGTGCACGAGCAAAACTCCATCCTTCAAGCAACCACATGAGCTCGAAGTTTACCAGGTGAACTATAACCGAAAAAGCGTGCACTAAGGCGGCTATTGTTGCGCCCGTCTTTTTGCAGCACAAGGATAAAAGTGGAGCAGCAAAACATGAAAGGGAGAAGCATATGAGCAGCATCGTTATGTTTGCGACGATGGGGAAGAATGTAACGATCCCGAGCCGAACAATCGCTGCTGTTGGTCTGGCCGATGTTACACCTGTCTGTGCATTGCTGAAAGTGTAAGCAGTTAGACTGAGAGCAGTGGCGCCCGCCGGGATTAAAATCTCTGCAACAAAAATATCAGCAAGCGTCGCCCTTTTCGTCTCTTTACCACTCTTTTCAGAGATGTCATCGATCAGTTTGGTTTTAAATCCCGTGAATCTTGCCCTCGAATTTCTGACGTACTCTATCCAAGAACCTGAATCGAATGTGGTGTTGCCACGGGAGAGCCACTGAATGAAATTCCTGTAATCTACGAAAAAATCCGTAAAGGTAAACTGGTTTGGATTGAAGAGAAATGGCGCAAGACACATGGAAATCACCGTGATCCAAAACCAAAGTAAAGCTGGCTGCCACATGGATATTGTGGCAAATATCAACATCAAAAAGATTTTGGCTCCAGAGTAGATTGAGGTTGATGCAAACTTGGAGTAAAGTTGAGAAAAGTCTAGTCTGGTTATGGCAAACCCTCTACCAGAGGAAATATATCTGGCTCCACCAAACGTGACGTTTGTGAGAAGAGCACTCGCATATATTTGGCAAACAAACACCTCAAAAAACGATGCCAGTGACAGCAAATGATGTAAAAACCGTGAGATGGCTCTCCAAACGCCCCTTTCAAGCAACTCCTGAATCAGTAGTGGAGCGAAGGCAATGAAGAAAACAATGAAGATGGAGAGAACGAAAATTGACACCCAATGGAGTACGGGCTCAATATTGTAGCATCCAATCGGATGTTGCAGATCAGTTATAGGTAGGTCTCTGTTGTAGGAACATGCTATGGTTTCATGATTAAGAGCTCCCAAATTAATAAGAAGAACAAAAAAGATTTGAACAGACAGCGTAATGAACAAGTTGTTAAGGTGAAATCCTGCGTGTGCATAGAAAAAGGAAAGAAAGCGATCAATCGGGAGTTGGGTTCCAAGATAAAAATATTCTCTTGAAAGCAACTGCTCTCCCATACCAGCACCGATTTTGGTTGTGAAATTCAGTATAGATTCAAATCCCAAATCTCGTCCCTTACCGCATTGGTAATAATCACTATGTTTTATTCGACCTCCACGGCATACTGCGTTCATCCCGGCGTAAATATCCTCATTCAAATGAAGCCCCTTTTGAGCTTTCGAAATCCCTCCTCTTGTCGTCATGAAGATCGCGTTAAGAAAATCAGGATGACCGTAGTGCAATTTACCTCCAATCTCCGCAAGTGTTCTCGCAAAAAGCGTGCCAAATGTCTGCTCTTTTCCCGCCGCCACATCGCCTAGTACACCAATATTCTCTGAGAAAATATACTCTCGAGCTCCCACAATTGCAACGGGTGCGCTTTTTTCCTTGTCATCGATATCAGACATATATGGGTTTTCGTCTTCGATGTCGAGCTCCTCAAACTCACTTAGCAGCGATCTTATTTTCAAACATTCTTCGAGATAGTTGTCTTGGTTGGCATCAATAACTTGAATGTATTCTCCACGGTAGAAAATCAACGAGTGATTCTGATTGTCTGACTTCCCATCACCAAGTATTGGATTTCCTGATAGCCGAACTCTGAAGTTTGGGATCCTTGCACCGCTGACTGTGTCGATTTGACAATGTCCGTCAATCAAACAAGAGTAATATATTGGCTCGCCATTTGATACTGCGTTCTCCTCTAAATAAGAAATGCACATGTCGGGATAAGCTTGTAAAAGCAAGTTTGTAGCATCCATCTCATCCTTATCAAACCTTGAGTACCGTTGCATAGCAACAACCATTCTAAACTTTCTTCTGGAAAGATTCTCCAGTTCTCGTTCCATATCACCATAATTAGTGAAGAAAGCTTGAACCATCGAGGGATTTTCAATTCTGTACAACAGCTTTATTGCCTTAGAGTAGTTCATGAATCCTGTAATTGTTCTGTATAGCGTCTGAAATCTCAAAGATGCCCAAATCCTAGTCCGCAAGGTATATTGCGGATTAGATTTACTGAATCCCATGCAATAATAAGGCAAGTCCCTAATTTTACTCTGCATGAATTTGAATCTGTCATTTGCATCTTTAGTGGAATCGTCGTGGCTTTCTTTTAGCGACTCCAAGTCTTGATCTGGGTCATCGTGGTCCGAATCAACTTCTAGGGACAACAGCTTAGTGTCCCGAACAAAACACTCCCACTCTGTTGGATGAAGGTGTTTAAGATATTCAAGTAGAGTGATACGCGATTTTGTTGATTCTTCTTTTATGATTTCCTTCAAAGACAACAAAATCTTTTCGGAGTAATGTGGAACTAAAACGGTGAAAGTGGGCATACACTCTACAGGCATCGGCTCTGCTATGGGTGTAGAAAGGGATTGCGCAAAGAACGATATGCGGCGTTCCGCTTCGGAATTCTCCGGGAAAAATTCCATAGATTTGAAAGTGGAGTCGTCTTGTGCTACAAAAAACGTTGGCGACTTTAAAGCTCGCTTATCATGCGTCATTGAATCAACCTGCTGGTAAAGAAGCCTTTGGACATGCTCAATTGACAGCAAGTGTTCTCTGTACATCGAAATTACGATAGCATTCCAAACTTGCGAAACCAGAATTTTGGGTTTGTATTTAACATCCATCTCTGAAGTTGCCAAAATCTTGGAATGAATTCGCTTCGGAAGTCTTGAGTAAATATTCTTCCAGGGAGTGAGAATTGAGGTGCCCAGTGAGAACGACAGGATAATAGAGAAGATACAGTTGCAGATGATGTACCACAGATAAGTATCAAGGAAAAAGAGCACCAAATCGGTCAAAATCATAATGCCAAGTGTAATTTTTGGTTGGAGCCGGCAAATATGTGTGCCAACCAATGTATCTCCTCTGCATCTGCTCATATCCATTATGGATAAGACGCGTATGGGGTCCCGTAGGGATAGCGTGAGAAAGAAATACGACTCTATGAATTTGCCAACAAAGACGAATACCCATAACCCCCAAGAAAACCATTTGCTGCGGCCTGTCAGCTTTGGAAATTGAGCAGTGAAAACTTGTGAAGAGGTGAAACGCCTTTTCTTTTGCCCTTTGTGTAAATAAGAACCAAAAATCCCCCCCAAAGGCCTTATCGCGAAGAATAAAGTGGTCAGAATGGCGATGGTAAGCTGGAGTATCGAGACGACGTAAGCATGGCCTGAATGAACGTCCAGGTCAAAGAACCCAAAAACGTATATGGAAGGTGCGATATTCACAACCAAACAGAACACCAGTCCTAACATTCTTTTAGTCAAATGTTGACCACCGGGCCATTTGCGTGGCACGAAGGTCCATTCAAAAATTGTGGCCATTATCTGGATGACGCAAGTAACGGTTCCGCCTAAAGCCATCGCTGATAGCCGGGCTTGCTGTGTTGGAGGATTGTCGAGCAACTGGACGTAGTCCTTTGTGTAAAGGGTTGGTGCATTGAAAGAGGTGAAAAACCAAAAAGTCGAAAGGTGGATAATCCAGATCCTATTGAAGTTCGTCGCGCAATGCATCCATGTTCTTGTTTCTTTGTAAGTCTTGTAAAAGGCCTTAGGCCATTGAACATCTTTCAGGGCATTGAATCTTTCATGTCGTGGCTTGTCGATAAGCCGTTCTCCTGACTCAAGAACAAGTCTTTCGATGCCTTCTGGATACCAAAACAGCTGGTTAACATCATCATACCCTATTATGTCCTTATGATCTTTTTCAAGTCTGGTTAATTTACCATTTTTTGACTCAACTTCGTACACCTGAGACCGTAAAAAGCGGTATAATGGAGTGATGATTTCATTGAGATAAAAGTATTCGGGCCTGGGCTTCTGGCAAACGTCTTCGGTGCTACAATCATGATCCAGGGCGCATTTAAAAATAAAACACAAGCATTCTGGAGTATACCGTATTTGATTTGCTTCGCCCCAGCACAAAAAGTATAGTGCCAACTGACGAGCCATCTGTGCTGGCTCCAATGCACGCATTTTCATCTTCCATTTCAAGCCCGTGATCTTATAGTTCAAGTCTTCTTTGAACTTTGTCGGCACAATATTCGATACGTTAGGATGGTTTTTGATAAACTCCTCTTCTTCTTCTTTCCATTTTCGAAGGTGCTCGTCAGTCGACACGCCACGCTTTTTTGCAAGCTCCTTGTTATGTTTGCGAGCCTTTCCATGTAGCTTCATGTTCTGGAATCCTACCTCTTCGTCGAGATCGAGCTGCGCGGCAAAATACCATTTCTTGAAATTTGCTTCGTCGCCCCCTATATAAGACGCATGGAGCGATACAAGGGCGTTTGGCGCACAAGATCTACTGGCTCGAGAGTCCAATTGCGACAAAAGATGATGGAACATGTTCTCCTTTGACGATTGCTGGAAGCCAAATTTAGCGGTCAAATCCGCAAAGATGTCTTTTAGCTCCACCTGTGTTACCGGAACTTCGTCATCCTGGCACCAAGCAGGGTACCGAACGTCTATCGTCGCCATTTTCGTTGTATACAGTGTGTGTTTGTTTCTGTTGTGTGCATGCAGTGGCGGATGTAAATAATAGGTTACGCAATTTATACTTGCTAACCGCCAAGTGCCACAAAGACGACAGATGGGCGAAGAGGTCTCCCGATACGAGTGCAAGGGGCGGGACAGTAGAAGAAAGCAGGTTATGAGATTGCGGAAGATTGTAGCGATAGGTCGTGGTGGTCTCGATATACATGTTATGATAAGCCAACCGCACTTTCAAGCACAAATCCAAGATCAAAGTCCACAAGCTACCTTAAAGTGTCTATCTATATAATGTAAATGCACAAGATTCCTAGCCCGGGATATATCGAAGGGATGCAGTTTGTTGCTGGTCGAGATCCGCGGGTTTACAGTCTGGATGACATTGTCTTTCAATGGGTTTCACCACTCTACGTTTGAGACCAGATGGGAATAAAGAAAGACGCACACAGCAAAAGAATCCAGTCACGTGACACACTTGATCCTAACCTCGAAGGGTCACGTTTCTGGTGATCTTCACAAAAAAAGAAAATACCTACCACAGCACCCTTCGTCCAAACTGATATTCACAAACTCGTGGGTTACTTTCGTACAGAGAGACTCACAGAGCACTACACAAATGCAAATTCCGCATTCCCCCACGACTTGCGCTAAACATGCAACACTTCCAGCTCTTTTCCGTTTCGGGTAAAATACGAGGCGATCTAGATGAATCCCACCCACCTTTTCAACAGAAAGTCACCTTGCAACACCGTTCCTCTCCCAGATTCTAGCCAGATTCTAGCCACCATTCACCACCCACCCTGCTGCAGCACCTTCGTTTTTTCTGTCCTGCACGTTTCTTCGGTTTATTCTCGGTTTCTCCCACACCTCGAGAACCTACTACATGCCCCCCCGTCCACGAATCTTTCTTTAACTAGATTCAGTAACAGAAAAACTTTTCACTCATGGTAACACCCACGAGAAAAATTTCAAGTCCACGAACTTGACAACAATCTCGACACGGATCGGGTAATGACAAAAGAAAAAATTCCCTGTTAGGTGTGTTGCCACAGCACGGTGGAGCGATCCCGCCCAGGCAGTGTCTGAGACTGGAAGCACTAGCAGACGGCGACTGGAACGGTCATTGGTTACCGAATGCATTTTTTTCGAGGATGTGTTACGGATCGACAATTCCTGTTTTCTCTCTATCTTTTAAAACCCTCTTCTACAACTTGACTGTCTTTTTGGTTCCACAATTGTACTACTGCTCGCTTTCTTTCTTGCTTCACACACCAGCTCTCGCACAGTCCAACTGACAGTCCTTCCTTAAACCTCAACTGCGAGCGTCGTCACCTTCAAAAGTATCCCAACTATACTTTTGATACCACTCGTTCTAATACCATCCAAGCTCCCATAAGTCGTGTTTTCTGCCCGTATGCGTTTCACTCAGATTCTTTCCTCCGCTGCGATCGCTGGTGTTTCGCTAGCTACCCCTCTTGGCCACGAGCACCCTGCCCACAAGAGAGACGTGGCATACGTGACCAACGTCAAGACCACCACTGTGTTCGGTACTGCTCCACAGCAGGTCGGTGGTCAATCGACCACTGTGCAGCTGGACGCTTCCAACACCGTCGCCCAACAGGCTGCCACACAATCGACCTCGTTGTCTGAGGTCTCGAGAGGTGTGGAGGCCGCCCCAACTGCCGCTGCCACTTCGACCGCTCCCGCTTCTTCGACCGTGGCAGCTTCTTCCTCGAGCGTCTCGTCGAGCAGCCCTTCTTCTGTCCCAGCCTCGAGCTCTTCGTCTTCTGCTCCAGCCGCTAGCTCCTCTTCATCTGGTTCCGTCGGTTCCGGTGGAGCCAAGGGTATCACCTACTCGCCTTACAGCAGCTCTGGTTCTTGTAAGAGCTCTTCTGACATTGCCTCTGACTTGGCTCAACTCTCAGGCTACGACATCATCAGACTATACGGTGTCGACTGCGACCAGGTCTCTGCTGTCTTGCAAAACAAGGGCTCCAGTCAAAAGGTGTTCCTAGGTATCTACTACACCGATGCCATCCAGGACGGTGTCAACACCATCCAGAGTGCGATCAACGCCCACGGCTCTTGGGACGACGTCTACGCCGTTTCTATCGGTAACGAATTGGTCAACGCCGGTACTGCTTCTGTCTCTCAGGTTGGCTCGCTCGTTTCCGAGGGTAGATCCGCACTTAAGAGCGCTGGCTACTCCGGTCCTGTCGTCTCTGTTGACACTTTCATCGCTGTCATCAACAACCCTGGTTTGTGCGAATACTCAGACTTCATGGCCGTCAACGCCCACGCCTACTTTGACTACAATACCGCTGCCAGTGACGCTGGCACATGGTTGAACGAACAAATCGAGAGAGTCTGGGGTGCTTGCAACGGTAACAAGAATGTCTTGATTACCGAGTCTGGCTGGCCATCTCAAGGTGAGACTTTGGGTAAAGCCGTTGCATCGAAGCAAAACCAAGTTTCCGCCATTAACTCTATCAAGGCTTCGTGTGGTAACGCAGTCATTTTGTTCACCGCCTTTAACGACTACTGGAAGGCCGACGGTGCCTACGGATGCGAGAAATACTGGGGTATTTTGTCCAACTAGAGCTTTTCATTCTAGTTAACTCTTGTGGGTTCTTTTTCCACTTCCGTTCCATTCCTTCAGTTCACTTACACGGTGCTTTTTCTGCTTGAAGCCTTGTCTATTTTTGGTTCGATCTCTCGCACCCTTCAATTCCACTGTTGGGTGCAACTACATACCCGGGGTCTACTTAAGTCCCTTTTCTATGTATTGTCAGCTTGACAATCTCTCTTTTTGAATGTATGGATTATTGTTAGTTCCGGCGACTTTGTTCGTCATTTCTATGTATGTTTTTCGTACTGCTTCAGCCGTATTGTCACAAACCGCTGTTCAGCATACACGATAAAATCTGTTTATTTAGCGGCTCATGGGTGGCGATCGCGATCTTCGCCTCGTAGGTGTCCTTGATCTTCTTCGTCTTGGCGGTGTTCGAGATCGTAGACGAGAATCGCCCCGCTCGCTGTTATCTTTCACTTCCAAAATCCTTGCCCTGCGCCTGCGATTAAACTTTTCCCACGTTCTAGCGGTCTGATCCTCGTTGCCCCCGTCTGACTCATCAGCTTCGTCAAATTCCTCATTATACGGCTTTGAGTTCTGGTCCTGTATTGTTAGTTTTTCACTTTCGAGTGTTTGGCGCATCACTTCTGTTAAGGGCCCCAGCCCTATAGCCGTAAAAAAGTTGATGGAAAATCTTGTTTTCTCCACATCATCAACGGGGAAAAGCTCTTTCAAAAAAGGTTGAACCCAGGGTTCTTCTAGTCGACATTTCAGCTCAGCTATCCCAAGATCAAGAACCAACTCTTGCAGCATAAACTTCAAAAAGACCCTCCCGGCAGGCGTGGTTTCAATCGCGTTCATATGAACAGCCCCAAGCACGTCCATCCCGACATAATCAGAAGCCAATATGTGGCCCCAAAGCTTCCCCATGTTCCTTACTTGAGTGGCCTGAAAGGTGTCCATGTCGTTGTAATTTTCCTTGAATGATTGAGCGAAGGCGAGTTTCCAGCTTTTATGGCTTGAACAAAGTCTTTCAGCCGTTACACCATAAAACTTAGAATAAGTCGTTTCTTGCGAACAGGCCATAATCAGTGTGTCAACAAGAATCTTTTTATTTCGGTCAGCAACCCGGATTTTGAGCAACTTATGCGCAGCTTCATCGCCCGACAAGGAGCCTTTAAGAGTCAAGTAGATTTTCTTCTTAAACTCAAGGTTATCTGATTGCGTCTTGTCCTCTATTTTAACGACTTCAGAGAATTTCTCTTTCGGTTGCTCGGAGAAATGTATTTCTGACCGGATTGACTCGAATGCTTCTTCCTTCGCGTCGTAATTCGAGTCGAATACAAACTTTTGTGGATCCCTCTCTGGCACTGACTGACTCTCTTCAAAATCAATCATATAAACGTGTCTCTGGGGCTCGTATGATGGCAATTGAATTTTCGGCAGCACACCGCTATATTCCCTCTTGCGAAGCTCAAAAAGAGCCTCGAATTCTCGGCGTAGCTCATAGCTGGTCTTAGAGTCCTGAAAATATGTACGCAGTCCTTCGTACACAAGATCGTGTGCACTTTTCGCCACTGCTAACAGATCACGTCCACACTGACGCAGGATTTCCATGGTCAAACGGACGGAATGCGGATTGATATGTTCAGTTAGCAAATGAAGAACTTGCAGCACTACAATTTCGTGTGCAGCTCCATAGTTGAATAATTGCGACAAAAGCCTTGCACTTGCATAACATGTTCGTGCATTGTTTGCCCTGAAAGCGGTTAAAAACCTCAGTACCGTGTCCTCAACCAGCAAAGAGCCCACAGACCGAATCCGAGAAGAAATCAAGCCCACTAACGCCGCGATTTTTGCGATAGAATGGCTGTTCTCGACTGCTTTGCGGCTCAGAGCGTCTACTAGCAAGCGGTCCCCATACACTAAGTTAACGGCAAAAAGGGATTGAAAAGAGTCCAAAACTGAATCACCGTCAAGTTTCTCAACAACAAAGTTTATATGGCTCGCGATACGCTCCCAATTTTCCTTTTGGAGCACCTCTTCAGTTTTATCTTGTGTACTCATCGCTTTTCCTTTGCCTTCGTGAACATTTTCGGTTATGCATTCACTCATTTAACAATTATAAATTGTATAATTACAGAGCATCGACCGAACGTTCAGGTCAAATTCAGATGGAGCTCCGCAAGTATGGCTAGCTTAGCTCTGGTTATCAAGTCCCTAGGTGAAATAAGCTTGGAGAAACTGAAAGAGCTTATAAAGAGACACCTGTCGCTCCTGAAGTCCAGCTCTTCCTATGTGGATGTCATTGTCACGAACAGAATAACGGACTCAGAACGTCTAGACCATGTGTTGGGGAACCTGTACAGTAGTATACGAGAAGTGCTGATGACAGAAAATCTCTACGAAACCCCCATTAATGTTTTATTCAATCAAAAAGACACTTGGCTCAGAAATCATGTATGGGATATGCTGCTAGTAAGTACTGATGTGTCAATTGCTGACGCATACAAGTATAAAAAACTCCAAAACGTGGATTTAACTGGAAGAACTACTATCATAAGTGGGGAAACATTGTCAACCAAAGAAAATGAGGATGCAGATTTGTACTCTGTAAGCGCATTGGGGGGCACTTTCGATCATCTGCACGATGGCCACAAAATTCTTTTGAGTATAGCTGCATTTTTAACGTCACAAAGACTTATTGTAGGCGTAGCGGATCAGGAACTTCTGAATAATAAAAAGTTCGCGAAGTATCTAGAGTCGTTTGAAGTTCGGGCCCGTAATGTCGAGGAGTTTGTTGCAAGAGTGAAGCCATCGTTGCGCTTAGAAATTGTTGCACTGCGCGACGTATGCGGGCCAACTGGAGCAGTACCAGAAATACAAAGTCTCATCGTGAGCCGCGAAACAGAAGCAGGCGGCAAAACAGTAAATGCGGTGCGCAAAGAAAAAGGGTTATCTGCTTTGGTGATTCATGTGGTCAACGTACTAGGAGGTCGCGAAGAAGATAACTGGAAGGAGAAACTAAGCAGTACAGAGCTGCGCAAGCGAAAAACAATCGAATCCTAGCGATGTTTTTGATTGCTTACTTAAACGAGAGATGTACATAGCGGGCCTAGTTTTTGATGACCATTGGTCTGTCGTGATACGCTTGGGTCCTGGTGCGGTCTGGGTGGTCCATGCAAATATAATCTAAATTGTTTAAAACGTCGAATAAGACGATCTCGTGGAGCTCATCATCGGTAAACCCGCTCAGAGGTTTGAATGTTAGGCCAGTATCGGAGCCTACAGTAATTCCAAGCTTGATTTTAGAGAACTCCTTCCGCCCTAACCCGAATTTAGAATGAAGTCTGTCTCGCGTTTCTAAGAAATTCTCGCCTGGCACTAAATTGAAAAGGAATGAAATGCCATGTCTGTTGTCCAAATCCTTAAAGTACTGGATGACGATCACCAATTTGCCATTTATAGCAGGTGTTTGCTCTACTCCCACATCGAAGCTGTCGCTCTCTGTATCGTCCATTAAATCCAAATTGTCCGCTGACGCATTCTCTAATTGGTTGACTAGTGCAAGTTCTTCCGGGAGCACTCTACCAAAAAAGAGAAACGACTCTGCCAGTTCTTGAAAGACGTTATCGCCTGAAAGAATACCTTGGAATTTAAAGTCACAGTTCGTCCACAGGAGAACGTTTTTTTTCTGGTCATCGTCAAAGTTAAGCTTCTTTTGAAGTTTTATTATGAACTCGTCAATCGTAGAAGAGTTTTGTACCCGGAATTCGCATCTCTGGTAATGTACATAGCTATCGTTCAGCCAATAGAACTTTATTGATCTCAGCTGTTCAAATTCTTCGAGCGGTATTGAAAGAACTTCAAATTCGAAGGGGGGAATAGAATCTCGAGAATAATCTTTTACCAGGTAGTCCGATATACGGCAGTTCGACTTCAAAGCAAAGCGGCCATTGGAATAAATTGCGAAGACTCTCAGATTTGACGCATTGATCCCAGTTTTGCTAGCTATTAAGCTCGCAAATTCTTCGTATGTGGCTTGTGCTGAAATCCAGATACTCAACTGAGTCGTCTCTTTAGTGTCACCCACAATAGCATATTCTTCATCACTTTTCGCCACCCTTGTTAGCGTAATATTGATTCTGTATCTGAGGAACTCGTAGTGGTCTAAGATTGTAAGTTCGGTACCTTTCACGTCGCCCGCTAATGTGAATGCTAGAATGTCTCCGTCTACTAGCTCAGAGGCAACAAATTGCATTTTGTCATCAACTGGTTCAATTGCGTCAGGTTGAAACTCTTCAAAGAACTCTTCATTCGAATTTACCGCGCATAACTTTTTCAGTAACTGGCACAATGTGGACACTTCGTCGTCTTGATTTACTAAAACATGACCAAATCCTTGTAAGCGATGAACGCTGCTATCGAAAGCTTTGAGAAAAATGAGCGTTTTCTGGCTGCCTTCTTCGTCGGACTTCAGATAGGATGATGAATCGGGTAAATTCCCTTGCATAGCGGCACTGCGAAGTTGAGCAATGACGTCAGTAGTTAATCTTGTTTCTTCAATCATTTTATCAGCCGCAGTTTTGGCTAGATAGTTCAACTCCAAATAAGGCTCTTCCACGAAAATGTCCACCGATGTTGATCGCGAAATGCCCATCTTGTGCGTTACTTGTTCCAAGGTCAGATTGTCGAGCTCCGAACTTAAGACAGTTTCGAGGCGCAACGTGTAATTCTTCCTATAGCTCATCATCCAGAAGTTTATGCTGCACGCCCGGGGAAGGTTTAAAGTTTTCGTGATCTCGCTTTTGAGGTCTCTCAGTTTCAAGGATTTCAGAGTGCGCAACGATACCGCATACTCATTTGGCGCATTCAACTCTGAGCTATAAAGTTTTGACCTCTCATTGGGAGAGTAATCAAAACCCTGATAATTCACAAAATTACTCATTGAATGAACGTGCACTTTTGTGTACAAATGCATTTCTTCAAGCTCTTTTCTCCTTTTCTCACGTTCTTGAAGATCTTTCTCTATACTAGAGACAACATGCTCAGGTACGTCACCGGCGGAAACTTCTTCTAAAACCTTGTCTTCCATGTCCTTCCTCACATAAACCAACATATAGGCACCCGTTTGGCGTGCAATGAGATAATTTTGGTATTGTTCTCGAGTGAAGGTTCTCAACTTATCGTCAGGCAACACATCGTGCCCAAAGTTTTCATCGAAAGCCTGCTTTTTAGTCACTTTCCAAACTTTATCATCGTCAAATCTAAACCACTGGTCGTCAACACTGGGCTTAATCATTGCATAGTAGTGACCAGCGGAGATGTCTCCGGAATGCACCAACACACAGTGTAGATTGTAAATGCAGGGACTGCTATGTTGCTTGCTCACATCAGGATCGAGATAAGGTGCCAAGTCGATTGTTTCCGGGAATTCGTATCTATCATTAATTTTGACCAACTGGTCGTAAGTGAAGTCGTATTCAAACCGCTTTAGTTGCAAATGTAACACAGAAGGAAAACTTTCGAAAACAACTCCCTTTTTAGCATCTTGAAGACCGAAGTCCTGAGCGGCATACTGATTTTCGCCGTCCATCATCTCAACTTCCACATAGTTTGCGAACGATTCTTGGACACCTTTGAGGTTTTTGACATTAAGCTGTATATCCCAAAAGTCTTCCACTCGCGAAGACTCGTACTTGACATTGATACACCTGATATAGCTTTTCATTTTACCGACGAAAAGCTCGTTCAGCACACCCTCGACTTCTGTGCCCTTCATTCTTGTCTCTAAACGGTCCATTAAAATACGGTTCAGCTCTTGGACATCATGCTGTGTAAAAGCCTCGCCAGTATCCCAGCCAAACGATCGAGTCAACTCTAAAGTATCCAGCGGATCCTGAGCTTTTTGCATAAGGTAAAAAGATCGCTGCAGAGCCAGCGCCACGCTGTCGTTTGGAGAATCTTTGTCGGTGGGGATTTTGTAAACGACCTTACGGAAAAGCTTGGTGAAGAAATATGACTGTAGCAGCGAGTTCAAATAGCAGGTGGCACCTTGATTTTTGAAGCCTATGTAGCCAGTAAGCTTTTTGGAGTCGTAGTTCAGGAAGTTATGCCACAACACTCCGGTGGGATCTTTCAAAGTACGCACGAAAACTGATATGTTGACCTGATTGTTTACCAGGAACCCCGAGTTGCGTGAGGACGTGCGTTTTTTCAGCGTTTCTAGCCCCATAAACGTGGCAAACCCCCAGTCTGTGTCTGTGGCACAAAATCTGTGGTGCGATACATTGAAGAGTTGGCATTTGGCGTCTTCGCCAGGCCTTGAAACACCGATTGCGAATTGCGTACATACATGCCAATCTGGGTCTTCAGGTTGCACTGATTTGTCCTCTTCATTTGAAATTTCTTTGGGATGAGGCTCCAGATACATCGACAAACCTCGGTTATGATTGCCTTGGGGGAAAAGAAGAACATTCCATTCAAAATCACCGATTCTAAAACGGGGAGAAGTGTGTTTCTCCTCGGTTAGAACATTCCAATCAGGTATGTGCCATGTAAAGGCCCCTGTATAATCTACGTCCTCTGGATCGATTGACGGCAAAACATCATCGATCGATTTGCCCAACTCTATAAGCTCACCAACACTACCAACGGTGGCGTCTTCAGGCGCTTCTTCAGTCATCCTTGTTCGCTTGCTTGCCGTTTTGTAGGAAGCTTGAGCGTCGAAATGGATTAGACGATAGGTTGAATCATTATTTCATATAGAGAAAGTTGCTCCCCTTAAAATGCCTGTACAGTTACCCGGAAAAGACAAGTCATGTGCACGTGCTCTCAAGGAACTCCTTTTTACTGTTGTTCAGAAAACAAAGTTCAGTTGGTAAGCGGCTTGAAACCAGTATACGTATGTGCTGTAAAGACCTGAGGTACTGGAAGTGACTCCTCATTCAATTCGCCTCTTTGCATCTATGTCATTCTTCTTTATAGCTACAACTAAGTCAATATATAGACATAATATTTGTATCACGTGGCCATCACCCCTTCTCTCTTTCGCCCTTATACGTCAAGTTTGTTATATGAAGAAACGCAAGAGTACCCGACCCGATATAAACTTGTCGAAACATATGAAGAGACAACTGCTCGTCCCCCGAACAGTATCAACTATATGATCCCAGCGCTGCGAAGACCCTTGAGGTCTGTCTGGGAAGTTCCGTGCCGGAGCTTACTCTCTCTTTCGAGAATAAGATCGAGCACAAGGTTTGTTTCCACCGAGATTCAGCAAAAAGACGAACAAGCTGGGGAGTCCATTACTGCAACGGACACAGGTGTGATACACAAAACAGAAGAAGAAACTCTAGTATATTTCGACAATGTGTACCCTCGAGCAACCTCTTTATGGAGTCCCACTCAATGGTATAACATCTTGCTCACGAATCAGTCGCGCGACGCTGTACGTTCGAAAATCATGGAATACGCCAGTCCCAAAAGCAACCCAATACACGGCTTAGAGTTAAGATCCAGCATCCCAGTTAAGCGGGATGGAGGCGTTTTCGCGACGTTTTTAGTCCCTCCTAGATATTCCATAGCTGAAGTCAACTCGATGATCCAAAAAAATACGGCTGAGGAGTCATCGATGAGTTTCCTTTCTTTCATTACAAAGGCCGCTGCTTTCCCAGTCAAGGGTACCCCATGGATCGAAGATTTACGGCGGCTGCCTAGCACAGTTATCAAGATAAAATTCGAAGGTCAACCGCTCTCGGAGGAAGAGATCTACTCTCTGTTCAGAAGGTACGGTACAATCGTTGACATTTTCCCTCCTAAAAAGGGTGAAAACATAGCAACTCTGCGTTATCGCTCGTTCCGTGGTGCAATCTGTGCCAAAAACTGTGTCACCGGAATGGAGGTCCACAACCATGTAATTCATGTCCAGTACGAACGCCCTGCTAATGAACACATGTTCAGAGACTTTTTTCTGAATCACACAAGGATTGCGGTGCCATTGATAATTGCTCTACTGTCGATTGCTGCCGTTCTTGTATTTGATCCGATTCGTGAATTTTCCATTGAACAGAAAATCACCCACCAGTTTTCACTCTCCAGGGACAACTATTTTGTAAAAAGCTTTTTCAAATTCACTTCCTACACTGTCTCTTCGTTCAAGAGCCTGTTGGGAACCGAAAATGTGCAAACCAACCAGAAACAACTATGGGAAGAGCGCATAGAGAAAGTGAGCGACCTAAGAATGTGGTTGGAGGAAAACAACAACACTTTTGTCATCGTCAGAGGTCCAAGAGGTTCAGGAAAGCACGATCTTGTTGTGCAACACACACTTCACGATAGACCAAATGTCCTCTACATAGACTGCGACAAGCTGACTAAATCTAGAACTGACTCCAAGTTTTTGATGAATGCTGCTGCTGAAATAGGTTACTTCCCTATTTTTCCATGGATCAATTCATTGACCAATGTCATTGACTTGGCAGTTCAAGGCCTAACGGGGCAAAAGACAGGACTATCAGAAAGCAAAGAAACTCAATTTAGAAACATGTTGACGACAGCTCTTATGTCAATCAGACAAGTTGCTCTAAAAGGGTACCACCCAATGATTGGAAGCGGTGATGATGCCATCAGCGTCAAGGAAGAAGATTATCTACAGCAACATCCTGAGAGGAAACCCGTGATTGTAATCGATCGTTTTAGTGATAAAGCTGAAATGAACAGTTTTGCGTTCGAAGAGTTATCGGATTGGGCAGCAATGCTTGTGCAAATGAATATCGCCCACGTAATCTTTTTGACGGAAACTGTTGCGCCCAACCAGCTTCTCTCCGAGTCTTTACCCAATCAAGTCTTCAAGACACTGGCTTTGTCGGACGCTTCGAAGAAATCCGCCCGCTCTTATGTTCTAGCTTCGTTGGAACATACAGACCTTGTCGATGACGAGAAGCAATCTCAACCCGTGGATCTTTCTGAGGAAACGATGCATGAGATAGACACATCACTCGAACCTCTTGGTGGTAGAATGCTTGACTTGCAAGCATTTGTCAGAAGAGTCAAATCAGGAGAAAATCCAAAAGAAGCGCTGGACAAAATGGTCGAGCAAGCACTGGAGCAAATCACTCAAATTTTTCTTGCGGAGAACGTCGACCAAATCCGGAGCGCCCAAGCCTGGGAATTAATTGAAATGCTCAGTAAGCAACCTGTGGTACCTTTCAAAAGCATCGTCTTCAGACCCTTATTCAAAAGTGCACCGGAGGCAGGACTTTTGGAATTGGAGAAGAATGGACTCATTACTGTCTCAAGAGATAGAGGCGTGCTTAAAGACATCCGACCCGCGAAGCCTCTTTATAGGGCTGCTTTTGAGTATCTTTTGAAGAGCAATGAGATTGCAACTGTTTTGGAAACAGGTTATCTGTTAAAAGTGATCAATTTTGAAACCAAACGTATCCAGAAATGGGAGGAAGAACTGAGATCTTTGGGTAAAGTTACAGATACAAAGCTTTTCAAGAGCAGGTTGACTTATTTAGCGAACAAAATTGATGCTAGCAGCGATAGCATCAACAGTTGCGAGGAAAAGATCAAACAGCTGTCCAAGGCAGCTGAATCCAAGTGAGCCGTCGTGTGCATACATTCTAACTTCTTGTATATAGTCCATTGTCATGCTAATGTGGATGACTCTACCAGTGCATTAGTTGCCGTTGTTAACGGAGAACATGAATAACTTGCTGAGGAAAAGCAGCGGGGATTTTGAGGCTGTCGAAACTTTGGTGAACGAAAAATTGTCAACCCATCAATTCTTTGTACTGTCACGATTTTTCGGCTTTTCTGTACCGGCTTTTATTGTATGCAACCTGGATTATTGACAATTCAAATGCTTGAGTCATCTTGAATCATGTATTTATGATTATGACTTTGAAAATTGACAACCGCTGACCAGTTCAACACACAATTCAACAAACATGATCACCATCATTGAGACTGAAAATGTACATATATACAGGATCTGGGAGGATGGCCTTCAGCCTGAGACCAAACCAATTCTGTTTTTCAAATTGCAAACACATCTGTAATGTCGTCGGCAAAATCATCAGAACATTTAACAACAGTCTTCACAGCAGATTCAGCAGAACAGAAGCTGCCAAAAACCTTCAAATGGATCCCACTATTGGGAATTGCCTTCTCATTGACGAACTCGTGGCTGGGGGTGTCCTCATCTCTTGTGGTCGGTCTGTCAAGTGGTGGTCCGCTTTTGATCATCTACGGGCTCGTAATCGGAATGATTTTCACCTTGATGTGTGGCTACACTCTGGCTGAATTTTCGTCAATGATTCCTAACAGTAGCGGCGCCTGCTTTTGGGTTCTCAAGATGCTGGAATTTCGCAAGGAAGATGAGCTCACGTTGAAAAATATTGAAGTTGCAAATTCTTCAGAAGAAGATTCAGAGGAGAAATCACTGGAGTGGGCATGTACAACGAAAGGTGTAGTTGTTAATTCTCCTTTCCAAAGGTCCGCTGCCTTGGCGGTGGGATTTATCAATTATTTTGGAGCTGTATTCACATCCGCTAGTGTATTTTCGTCACTTGCATTAAGTATCCTAGGTGTGCATTCCTTGCTCCACCCAGATTATGAATTCAAGCACTGGCATATCTTTGTGGTTTATGAGATTTTGAATGTGGTGATTACCTTTGTGAATTGTTGGTCAGCGATATTACCAGCGTTATCTCAATTTGGCCTTTATCTGTCACTTCTTACCTACCTAACGACCTTCATCATATGCATGGTCTGTCGCAGCAATAACAACGTTAACGAATGGCCCAAATCTTCGAACATCTTTGGTCACTTCCAGAATACAACTGGTTGGAGCTCCTCTCCTATGGCATTTATTGTTGGTCTCATTAATCCATTGTGGGCTTTTGCCGGAATTGATTCGGCAACACATATGGTTGATGAGGTCGGCTACATGCAATCGAAGAGACTGGTACCACGCGCAATAATATGCACAATTGTTATTGGATTTCTAACAAGTTTCACGTATGCCATCGGGATGTTTTATTGCATTATAGATTCTGAAAAGGTTACAGAGTCGATTTTACCCATTCTAGAAATCTATTATCAAGCAACACAAAACAGAAATCTAAGTGTCTTCATGCAGTGCTGCTGTATTTCAACAGGACTGACCTGCGGCGTTGCAAGTGTTACGTGGCAGAGTAGGATCCTGTGGAGTATTGGAAGAGATTTTTCCAAGCTATCTCCGCACAAACCAGTTTCTCGCAAAACTCTGGGATTTTTTGGCAAGGTAAATTCCAGTCTGAAAGCACCTCTCAACGCTCATCTTTTTTCTCAGGTGGTGGTCGCTATTATTGGGTGTATTTTCATGGGCTCCACAACCGCCTTTAATGCAATCATTACGGCATGTATTACATTACTTTTACTGAGCTACGCAATACCATGCGTTATTCTTCTCTGGGTTGGCAAGAGAGCGTTCTATGTGCGCATCCAAACCGAGTTATCTGAAATCGGCGTTTCCATCAAACGTTTGCCGAATGTTGGCATTTCGGGACTGATACCTAACATTTTAACCATCTGCTGGGCACTTTTCTGTCTCGTTTTCCTATCGTTTCCATACAGTTTACCGGTGAGTTCTGGCAACATGAATTACGTTTCTGTGGTCTATGGTGTAGTTACGTTAACCATTGGAATCATTGTTTGCGTTTAGTTCATTCCATTTGCTTTCAAGCAGAGGGGGGCCGCGTCGCCGGATTGAAATATTCACTGCTCTTCAAGCATTTTTCCGCTTTTAATAGTTGACGCTTCGTCTGTATTCCGCCTTTGAAACCTCCAAGAGTGCCATTTGAGCTCAAGACTCGATGACAGGGTATAACCATTAACAGCGGATTTGCTCCACAAGCGTTTGCGACAGCACGATATGAATTCGGAGACCCTATTTGCCTAGCCAACCGGTGATATGTAGTTGTACAACCCCAAGGAACTTTATTTAATTCATCCCATACCTTCCTTTGAAAATCTGTTCCACAGAGGTATTCGTATTTTGGAGGCGCTATTCTTTTACCATCGAGCAAATTGGCAATGATTACAGAAAACTCGGCCACTTTATTGTCAGAATCTACACACAGCGCGTAAGAGACCTTTGACCTATGCGATTGGCGTTCTATGAGTCTTTTTACAAGTTGAATCAGTTGATTGTCTTTATCAGAGTTGACATAAACTAGATTGTTCCTATACTCATCAACAACCAGGATACACCTTCCTAGGCGCCCTTCAGCAAATGTGTACAATAGCGTTCTTGACATAACTCGGGGTGATTAAGCAGACATTGACTACGTCAGACATTGAATCTACTGGGATAAACTAAATTCGCCCGTTCTAAGATGTATGCAATATAAGTAGCGTTGGCGTCAAATTCTAATTTCCCAAGACAATCTAAAGTACCATGAAAAATGATAAAACAAAAGAGGGACTGGGGATGAAGTCGTGTAGCATTGACTGATGTTTGACGTTTTCTCCTAATTCTATTATTCATTGGCTTTTATCAAATTACATACATCTTGAGCTCGCGGCCAAGTCTCAAGTGCGTTTCTACATAGCTCGTAAGACCCTTGTACATTTATTGTCGCCCACCTTGTTTCTGTACGTCGTTTTCTTGTGCAATTTGAGATACTTCGGAGCTATCAGTTGCGTCGCCCTTACCCGATGACGCCTGCTCTAAGTCCTTTTCGCTGGCCGACCCAACTTCGTCTTCATCGGCTGCCCATCTCCTCACGAGTGGAACCAGAAGTTTCGCAGTTACAACTTGCTCACTTTGGTATAGCACTAAAGGAACAAGAAGCTTCCCCAATTGTGGAAAATCACTGCCGTATTGGGACGAGACCAGGGAAACACCCAGAGCCGCCGTTTTCGCAGGTCCGCAAAACAAAATCGCCACGGTATCTTTCTTGTTGTAATAAAAAGGTCTTAGCACGCGGTACCCGTACACGTACATCTTCGAAGAGTGTTCATTGGGCTCATCGGGGAACATTTTGAGGATAAACCAAGGCCGAGCACAGACGAAGCATAAAACACTGAAGAACAGGTAAATCCCGATGTTGAACAAAACGATAAATACCATGGAGACGTGGGACACGCTGGTGAATGCGTGCTGATAAAAAGCCGTGGAAAAAGAGCTGAACATCACCAGCAGTAGGCAAATGCTGCCAATCTTGTTCATACGGAGCGTTTTAAGGGCCCAGGATACCTGGGCGGGGAACACATTTTGAGCCACTTGACCGACGCATAGAGGTACGAGGACAGACAATCCGATCTGCTTCATAACGTTAGCATAGACCGTACGCACACTGGAGCCGTTGCTTGGGTTTCCGAATGCAAACAGCGACGTGCTGAGGTACATCTGCACGATAGCTGGTGTAACGAACCCACCCAGGACATTTCCGATGAAGACCTCACACAGACACAATAAGTCGTTGCCTTTAGCCTGCTGGGTCATGATCACATTCGATGCCACAGTAGTCGGGCTTGCTGCAGTTAAGATCAACCCTACCAGCAGCCACTCATCGATCTTGGAGTCGTCCGAGCTTTGGATCGCACAGCAGAACCCAAAAAGAATCGAACTTGTAAGTAGAAAACTCATAACCAGTACTACTAAATGTGCACGCCAATTGGAAAGATTAAGGCATAAATTTTTGGTTGACATGCTCAACCCATTTTGTAGAAAGATCAATGCAACGGCGCCGTATTCAATAGTGTATTGGGCCTTGATCAGTCCACCTTGGCGTGCAAAATTCGGTACAAAGCGTGCCAGGACGATGAAAACAGCCAGAGTGATGAAAAACCATTGCGATATTATGAATTCAACCGGCTTGGAATGCCAGATTTTGGAAAACGAGACTGTCATTTTGGGCTCGTTTTCGAGGGCGGTTGGAAAACAATAATGTGCTTTATTGAGTCGAGGGTGTCGATGGTGTCAAAAGTGGATATCGCCCTACATCTAAGGACGTTTTTTGAAGACCCTGTTTGGCAAGCTTTCCATCTGCGATGCCCTTTTATGCATGGTTGATGATATCGGTGGTGCACTATTCACTGACTGAGTCTCGGCGAACCTCGGAATGCTCGGGCCGGGACACTCCTGATCATGTGATCATCACGCTGCTGTGGTGGAAGTGGGCGAAATGGAGAGACGATTTGTGGAGACTTTAAATGGTCGATGTAGCGCTCCGCAAATGTTAGATTGATGACATGAAGGAGAAGTGGTGTAAGATTGTTCCGGGGCGGTAACGGACAATGGTTTGAAAATGACACGGTATGTAAGAAAATAGCGCAAGATACACGCAAGATGTAGCGTCCGATTTTTTTCACTAATCGGTCCGCAATTACGGGCAAAAAAAACTAGCGACAAAGTGATACAAAGTGATGAATTAGTGACATACTAATACAAAGTGATATAAAAATTCCCCAAGGGTTCATACGTTTAAATTGATAGAACCCGCAGACCATTGTGCTTGATTATAATTAGCGTTAGTTTCCGCACTGCTCTCGAATTGAAGTGTTGGCCGTTGGACCGTTTGCAAATTACTATCGACTGAAGCAGGATAAATGCGCGGTAATACCAGCATCGGCTAAATCATGCCTTTGCCATTGCACCCTCGATCGTGTCATCGTTTTCATTCACTTGCTCACCTCTGTGAGAATTCTGAATGTTAAGGGTAGCACTCAACACTGGCGACAGCTCACGCTTTCCTGAAGACACAGCAACCAATTGACCGTCCGCATCAGTCATGTGAGGAAGGTCCTTCACGTTAGGCGGGTCTTTGTAATGTTCGCCCTTGACGGGGGAACCGGAAATGTAGTATTTAAACTTTTGAAATTTTTCTTTGAAACCCATGGTTCTGCGATGAGCTCCAGTGGATACTTGAGTCTTGGCAACTGTCTCCTTCTGGTATACTTGTCTTTTTATGTGTTTTCGAGGTCCTTATCTGCGATGCTTGTCCTGCAGATAACATGCCCGAACAGCAGCCCTATGGTTGTCTGATAAAATCGTTGGTAAAGTCATGTGACAGAATCTCTTGAAGACAGCCACTCAGCGAGCGGAGGTTCAAGTAGAGAATATAGTAAAAAATAGCACTGCGGTGTCAGCTATAAGCTCAAAACCGAAAGATGAAGCACAAAATGTGAGAGCTTCGTGTGAGTGCAAGTGCGATGCTTTTGTCGCTCGTTTAAAAGCTAGTGGGTTTAGCAGCGACACATGAATTGAGAAGGTGGGAACAGGAGTGACGAATTCTTCTTTGTAATGCTTCACACATATCATCATTTTTGAGGAGTTTAAAACTGCAACCGCTTATAGCAAGGAAAACGGTCTCGTTGGTGCGCTGTAAGTATCAGTATCACAATTATTGAAAGTCTGAATACTGAAGGTTTGGAAATTTCGGAGCTTTATCTGCAAATCACGCGCCAGCGAGCTTGACTATATCACTTCAAATGTTTCACACGTTGGAATCAACGCGAATGAGCCTGTGGAAATGCGATAAAAGAGAACTAAAACAACTAAACAGCTTTCAATTGCTAGCACCTAAAGAAGTAGCAGTTAAATAGCAAAAGAAGATGCTGCTATCTAGTGCAAATCCTGGTATATGGTGGCAGGTATCATTTCCGGGTATTATCTGCTACAAAGGAACACTAATGTGCAGTTCAGGCGATGGTCATCACTGATGTTTCGGCTTCAAGACATCCTAGTGCTGAGTCTGCTCACAAGGACCATCTTTCTGTTGCAGACAAGCGACAGACTTCATTTCTAAAGTGCTACGACCCGTGAGCTACTGAAAATGATCATTAATGGTAACGGCACTCGGTTCCGAAAGTATCACTATTTAGAGATGAACACCTCCGCGCTTTATTGTCAAAATTGAAAATTGACATCAATTTAGCAATCGATCATAGAAAAGAGGCAAATGGCTCTTTTGCTCCACGCACAAATTAGTGCGATTGGCTGAATGTTAGGACCTATGGTGCCAATAAGACTAGCTTCTCCGTGAATGGCTGTGCGACCACTGGTGATGAGCGGGCGTGCCAGCCTCATTCGTGGACTGGTATGTGAAGAGGGCGGGCATGTCAAGTACTTTTATGAACTTGATCCCTCAAGAGACCGGAGTTTTGTTGAGCTCCTTTCCGAAGTGGCATTTTGAATTAAGCAGTGATGTCAAGCTTATCCATAAACTGACATCTTAAGTGAACCGGGCGTATTATGGTCAATTATGATGTCGCATCCCGAATAGAACAGACGTATCGTGTTCGTTTACGAATCTATATTCTCAAGAGAGCGCGACTGTGTTAAATTTCACCAAAAACTGACATCTCAAGACCAGAACTGGAGGTCCCGTTCATCAATGAAGTCGTGTCCGAAAAAAAGTACAGGTTTTGTCCATCCATGAGGTGGCACCATGAAGAAACCAGGATTATGACAAGCTCATTCACAAACCGAGTTTCGTGAAAAGGCTGGTGTGCCAAGTCATTCAGAAGCTGGTATGCTGATAAGATCAAAAACGGCTGAGCGTGAACCAAATAGAAATCTTGAAACGCGTGAGGACACGCCATGATCGCCTAATCTCATATATCCACTAGCCTTTGTTGGTCCATTGCACGATACCGAAATGTACCGTTATTATATTTCAGGAAGGTAACTCCGATCGCTAGCTCTGGAGCGCAGTCTTGCCAAAACTGAATGGGACTTCATACCTCTGTACGGCACGAGCAGCCGTAGCTAGTGGGAGCACGCTATGCTCACCCACAGCGATGCAGCAACTAATGTCACAGCACACAGCTCATAGTAAGCTAATCCGAGCTATGCCAACATATGCCTACCTAGCCCAGTGATACACCCACACACCACCATCCGCCATCTGCTTCCAATTCAACTCATCGCTTTCTCCTGCCCTTGAAAATAGGAATGTGCCAATCACGGAAGCCTGCATAGCGTATCTAATTGATAATGCAGAACGGTGATTGTAAGGTATAGCGGAAAAGCTGAGAACCCCGGGATGAAGTGGACAGTAACTCGAGCATTGTGTATATAACAGAAGGAATGAAGGGAAGAGACCGATGCTAGAGTGTAACCCGTTCACCCTAAGGCTCATCGCTCTTCTGGTGCCTCTCGCGCGTTACAATGAACAAGCACGCCAGTCCTATTCGGTCCCTGCTTAGCTGCACCGATGTTGAAATTGTCCGCACTAATCTCGAAATGGAAAAACAACGGATGCCACAAACAACACTGCAAAAATTTCTACGTTTTCTGGATGTCCCACATGACGACAAACCACTGTCTGCGCTGAGAAACCCAGATCTGGAGCCCATAGGGCTCTCCGAACGTGTGTGGGGATTCTGGTCGTTTTTCGCCTACTGGGGGTTGCCCAATTTTGCCGTGGCCACGTTCTCCACGGGATCTGCCCTTCTGGCGCTGGACCTTAACATCCAGCAATCCATCGGCGCCCTGACCATTGCTAATGTGCTGATTGCCGTCTTCACCATTCTCAATTCTAACCCGGCTGTCAAGTATCACCTCGGATACACGCTGAGCCAGCGCATGGTTTTTGGCATTTACGGGTCCTATCTAGGGATCATCATTCGAGTAGGTATTTCCGTTGTGTTCTACGGATACCAGGCTTGGCTAGGTGGGCTGTGTTTCAACATGGTCTTCGACTCGTTTTCCCACAACTACCTCCACATGGCGAACACGTTTCCAGAGTCCGTTCCCATGGCCAAAAAGGATCTAATCGGGTTCCTGTGTTTCCAGCTCGTTCAGATGCCCTTTGCATACGTTAGACCTAGTCGTGTGAATGTGCCATCAATTGTTACCTGTTTGATGACCTTGTTTGCCATCATTGGCATGCTGGCCTACCTCATGAACACCAACGGTGGGCCAGGTCCGCTCTACTACAAAAAAGTGAACCTGTCCGTAAGCCAGCGTTCATGGGCGTGGCTTTACGCCATGACTATCTGGTACAGTGGGATCTCTCCTGCTGTCGCTAACCAATCCGATTACTCCCGGTTCAGTTCGAACACTTGGCGTTGTTACGCAGGCTTGTTCATTGGTATCGTCCTGCCGGGCACTTTTGTGTCGCTCGCTGGTATGCTGTGTGCTTCGGCGTGTAAAGGTCTCTATGGCACAGCGTACTGGACTCCCAATGAAATCGTGGAAGAATGGCTCTCTAACAGCTACTCCTCTAAAGGACGGGCTGCAGCTTTTTTCATTGGCATCAGTTTCACGGGATCGCAGGTGTTTTTGAACCTAACACAAAACGGTTACCCCTGCGGGATGGATCTGGCGGGTATTTTCCCACGTTACATCAATGTGACTCGCGGTACGCTGTTTGTGCAGCTAGTCTCTTGGGTTGTGCAGCCATGGACATTCTTCAACACTTCTTCTGCGTTCTTAAACGCCATGAGCTCCTTCGGTATTTTCGTGACGCCAATTGTGACGCTGAATGTCATCGAATTTTACTGGATTCGCAGATCCAAGATTACACTTCTTGATTTTTTTACGCTTTCTCCGAAGGGTGCGTACTGGTACGACCACGGATTTAACTGGAAGTCGCTGTTGGTACTCATTGTGGGCATTGTGCTCGGATTACCGGGTCTAGTCTACGAAACGCAGCCGGAAATAAAGGTAAACACCGGCATGATGAACTACTATTACGGTTACATGTTCTTCATTCCCGTGGTGACGGGTGTGCTGTATTACGGTCTCACAAAGGCGTTCCCCAACCATCACGAAAAACTGCGCCAGGATGATCCCGTGGATTTCTTTAACTGTTTCTCAGACAAAGAGACGGCCGACATGGGTATGCTTCCCCACAGCAAAGCTAATATGTGCGAAGTCCTGGATGCAGCAGAGCCTCATAATTATGCGGACGAGATTATTCTTGGCGAGGGCAAGGAAGAAGTGTAAAACTTTGCAGCTGGTGATGTTTTGTTTGACAATCTTCAAGGATATATAGGGCCAGACCGTGACGGGTCGAGGTCAACAAATTTTAACGGTACCCATGTACCCTTTCGGAAATACAGATGAGCTGTCAAACGTATGCTTAGCACTTTTTTTGAACACTTCAATGGTATCCAATAATTTTTCACTGCTGTGTAAGGACTCTTTGTCGTAGTCTAGCTAGGAGCATGTGCGAAAATTGATCAGTACTGGCAGGGAGAGTCCAAATTCCTTGGGATTCGAAAATAACTAGGCATTAAGCGGGTTCATGTTACTGGTTGGTCCTAATGAAAACACATATCACCATAGAGGAAGGGAGACATACGGTCAACATGGGAGACAGGACAAAGTGTGCCGCACATCGATGCATAGTTATTTTAGAAGCAACTGAAGAGAAACAGGGGGGCGATTACTAACTCTGAAATAGAAGCGGTTAGGGGTTGCAAAATTGTGGTTAGACCTTCGGTTTCCTTGCCTTGATGCAATTCAGTGGTCATAACAGTCGTGAGGAGATAACTCGAACAATACGTAAAGATGGCAGGCGTATCGGCCTTGGGTCAGACAGCTCACAAAGATCATGTTTCTTCATACGCCAGGACTGTTGAACGATAGATGAACGATAATCCAGGGTTTGCGAGGATCTGAAGCAAGTCTCAGCTTTTGCATAAGGTCATGTTCTTTACATCCAAATAATTCAAAAAGAATTTGTGAAACGCTTTTTGTTCGTCAACGGCACGGACGCAACATCCCAAAATTAGATGGCATTGACCAACTAAGCCGAAATGATCCGAAAATTTGCCAACCGGACATTACGAGGACATTGACATGAAGAACCACTAAGAAATATGGCGAAAAATGCAATACATGGGGTCGTTTGCATTTTGAGTTCATGACAAGAGAGCATGCAAAAGCCATGGTCTTACGAGTCCCACGACATATGCGCTATATTTGCCCTCCTTTCTGCCGTCTTACTCCATGACCTTCACAATCGAGGACAAAGTGATCACAACCGGTCATATTTGTCCTCACACTCCGTAAGACGAACGTTTCAAACAGCACATCAGTGCCTATAATACTTACATTCCTTGACATGTCAAAAGACTCCAAGGAATCGAACATATGCTACCTTCTCGAAGAGTCACTGAAAATAAAAAATTCCGTCATCTTTGAAATCAATCGGCGTGATGGTAACCCTCTAGCCAGGCTGCATTTCCTAATTGTGCGCATAAAAGTATGCCAAAAGCATGTTGTTAGTTTGAGTCAGCTGAGGTTTCTGATCTCGGACTTAATTTTGTCAACTTCCTCTCTAATTAACTGTCCACTCTTTGAGATGTGTCTTCTACCCAGATGCGAAAACACTCTGCTCCAGAACTAGGCGGATAGTGATGGTTCGTCAGGTATACGAAGCTGATAGAACATCACAGAGCCTCGACGTCTGGTGAACTGCAATCTTTAGTGGTGTGGACCCGAAAAAAAAAACTACTTACCCCAGAGGTTATAAATGGTGAAGAATTATAGTAGCGTCAAGTGCCAGGGCGCGTGCTTTTAGTGCCAAGTGGTGTTATCTGTCTGCCATTTCTGGTGGTGTTGACTGGCGGTATTCGTCTCCTGCCTAATGAGATCGACTTTCTTTTCAGCTTCTAAGAGCCCAGCCGGACGCATATTTGGGAATATTTATACAGCGGCTTTTCGAGACTCATCTCTGAGGTGGATGTGTACTCAAAAAAGTTTCTATCATCAACCAAAATTGAATCAAAAATTAGCGAAAATGCCCTCTGTTAGCGGCTTTTACATTCCACCCGTTTCCCTCTTCGGTGAGGGCGCCATCGAAGAGGCTGCCAAGCAAATCCGTCAAGCGGACTTCAAAAACGTTCTTATCGTGACAGACCCAGGTATTGCCAAGATTGGTCTTTCTGGCACCGTATCGAAAACCCTCGAACAACTGGGTCTTAACGTGGCTGTTTACGACCAAACTCAACCCAACCCTAACGAAAAGAACGTCTCGGATGGATTGAAGGTCCTAAGAGAGCACAATTCAGACGTTGTTGTCTCAATCGGCGGCGGTTCTGCCCATGACAATGCTAAAGCGATCGCTCTAGTTGCTACCAACGGTGGATCTATCGAAGACTACGAGGGCGTTAACAAGTCCAAGAAGAACGGGCTACCTCTGTACGCCATCAACACCACTGCAGGGACCGCATCAGAAATGACAAGATTCACTATAATCACGAACGAGGCAAAGAGAACAAAGATGGCAATTATCGATAACCATGTGACCCCATCAGTAGCTATCAATGATCCATCGACTATGTACGGTCTGCCACCCAGTCTGACTGCTGCCACCGGACTTGACGCCTTGACCCACTGTATCGAGGCCTACGTGTCCACGGCCTCCAACCCTATCACCGATGCCTGTGCGTTGAAAGGAATTGACTTGATTGAAGAAAGTTTGGAGAAAGCTTTCCTCAACGGCTCTGATAAGAAGGCACGTACTGACATGTGCTACGCCGAATATTTGGGCGGTATGGCTTTCAACAACGCTTCTCTTGGTTACGTCCACGCCCTTGCCCATCAGCTTGGTGGTTTTTACCATCTTCCTCACGGGGTATGCAACGCCGTGCTACTGCCCCACGTTCAGTACTTCAACAAAGCCGACGAGGCCACCGAAAGGAGACTAGCTGAAATTGCCATTCATTTAGGTTGCAAAGCGCACACTGCCGATGCTACGATTGAGAAGTTGTTGGATATGTGCAAAGCACTAAAGATCCCAAGAAATTTGGAGGAATTGGGTGTCAAGAAGGCAGACTTCGAGGCATTGGCCGAGCACGCTATGAAAGATGCATGCCATGCAACAAACCCTATCCCTTTTGAAAAGCACGAGGTTGTTGCTATTTTGCAGCGCGCTTTCGACTATTAAGCGCAGTGGTCGGCTGAAAATGCAGGTATTTATTGCCATTGACAATTGATGGCTATAATGATTAACGATATATAGCGTATTAGCACCATTTGTAGAAGTAAAGTGGATTGCAGTTTTTCATGGCGGGCATTGGGATCGAATGAGAGTCGTTGTCCTGGCTGAATTGATCAGGAAAAAAAGCTAGCCCCTAGTACAACTCCAGTGACCTTGTGTTCAAGCCCGCATATCAAACAAACCATATATGATGGATTTGCACGCTCGCTGATCATTTTTGAGCGCACAAACCACCACTTGGTGGACATATCTAGTGACATAAATTTTACGAGCGTTGTATGGACATGAGTGACATATATGTTAAATATAAGACTGTAAAAACATTGGCTCATCTAGTCAAAGGCAAGATGAGTTGACATTGAAGTCAAAGGTCCACTTTTCCCCGTGGTAGCAGGGTCTGGACCAATGAAAGAGCTTGGGAAACCAACATCAAACGGAACAACGCTCTCCAGGAAACTGATTTGCTCTGGAGACAGCTTAATGCTCAAGGCTTCGATATTCTGCTTTAGATGTTCGATTTTTCTACCCCCCACAAGCGGATAAACGCGCCTAGTTTTGGACCGGACGTAGGCCAACGCAATTGCGGTGATGGATTCGGTATTGTGCTCTTTCGCCACCTTTTCCAAAGCTTCGCTAATCTTGATCTCGTCTGGAGTTTGGTCTGCTGGGCCAGCAAAAGCACGTATGTTTTCGCCGTTCTTCTTTTTTTCCTCCAAAGTCTTTTTAGTTTGGAACCTGCCGCCACCCATAACATCCCATGGGACAAGGGCCATGCCAAAGGTTCTTGCCATGGGAATAATCTCACGTTCAAAGTCCCTCGACATCACGTTCCACTTGCCTTGGTATACACTGAACGGGGTTTTTCCATGAGCCCTCGCATATGTGTTTGCTGCAGAGACCACCCACGCTGGGGTGTCGGATACACCAAGATAAAGCACTTTACCCTGCTGAACCAGAATGTGAAGACTGTCCATGACTTCCTCGATAGAGGTCATTTGGTCCCACCAATGGACGTACAAGACGTCAATCCAGTCTGTCTGCAGCTTGACTAGAGAGTCTCTAACACTCAGGTGCAAGCTACGTTTGTGGTTTCCGTTGAAATTTGCGCTTTTGTTCTTGCCGATTTGATATGCCTTGTAGTCACTCGAGTATTTGGTGGCTATGACAATCTGATCACGGATTTTTCTCGAGGCCATCCACTCTCCTATCCACTCCTCAGATTGGTCATTTTGATATACATTCGCAGTATCAATAAAATTGCCACCAGCTTCGTAGAATGCATCCATTAAGGCGAAGGAACGCTGCTTGTCCATAGAGCCCATGACTTCTTGCCACGCATCTCCAATTGACATTGCCCCTAGCACAAGGGGCGAAACTCTGATACCTGCATTTTTAGATAGAATGCGTAGTCTCCCAAGTTCAGTTGGAGGTTCTGGTGCTGGCGTAAAAAGGTCAGCCATGTCTGTTATTTTGGATAGTTTGGGGTGGTACAATCGACATGCTGAGCGATGGAAATAGCTCAGACTGTATATATTAAAAACAGCTTACTAATTCAGGCATGTTGGAGGCGCATTGAGCTTCAGCGTTGATTACAAAACCTCTCGTAGTTGTTGCGAAAGGGTGTCCACCGATGTCACCACCAGACACTACATCCACCTACTTCCGATTCTAAAGTTAAGAAAGCGTTTCATACATGTGATTACCGTTATTACTAGCTCGCCGGAACTGTCACGGAGAAGAACATCCACGGAGCTGTACCAAAGAGGAAAACCCACGGAATCTTTACTGAGGGGAACAAATTCCGGTTTCTGTGTCTTCTGATGAGTAACCTGGTTCAAAGATACAGCTACCTATAGCGGGGTAGCGGAAATGAGATCTTGTTTTATCTGTGGTTGGTAGATAAACTATGCACTGTCATATATCACGTGCCTATGATCACTTAGTGATGAATTTGACGCCATGCGTACGAGAGTTGTTGGAACAAAGGCAGACGGCTGGCAACTCACAAACTACGTGACTTTAGAATATATGAATGACAGAAACTAAAGAGTCGTTTAAGATTCGTTAGTGTTGGATGAAGGCGTGAGTTGCACAGCTATGTCAGATTATTAATGAAATGTTCGGTCCTTTTTTGGTTCGAACCTACGATCCAAATTGATTTTCGAGTTCAGAGGATATTGAACTGGAGTTCCTGAAATTTCCGGGCATCATTATTTCTACGACACATGACAGATACTTCACAGAAAATGGGCACCGGAGTCATAGCTTTTGAAGTACAATTTGAAATGAAGGTGGCGGATTACTTGAAAGGTTACGTCGTCCTAGACTGCTGACGAATTACTTGAAACGTTACGTTGTCCTAGACTGCTGATAGTACCAAGTTGCGTAACGACACACTAGAAGTTGGGCAATAGTGCTGATTCCTGTCCAACAGATTGAGTTTTAGTTGAAGATGGGTGTCTTCGGGCCCTAATTTTGAAGTTTTGTTTTAACTCGTCTTTAGACCCTGTATCGTGGGTAGGTTTATTTCGCTGTGTTGGATATAGCAGATATGAGCTGATTTTGTAGGCCAGAAGCAAACAAGTGAAAGCTTCTCTCTCAACCTGAGTGCAATGACACTGAGTTTACTGATACCATCTAATGCTTGTGCGGCGTCATTTTGATTAGCTGCGCGATGATTTGTATCTAGTCAAGTCTCTTGATTAGTTAATCAATCCTATCACCGTCACCGTAATAACTGCCTTAGATACTTCTGGCATGAATCTGGTCGTAGACATAGAAAGAGGTTTCGGAAGTACTAACACTGGTTGTGAGACTCGAGAATGCATCTCTAGAGTGTCATCGTATGGTAACAATTCATATCCCGCCTACGTGCTATCTACGTGCCGAACATTTGCCTTTAAGTCCGGTGCCTCGAGGACAGGTACAAGCGTTGAGTCAGTTTTATGCACACGAACAATAGCTCAATTGAGGACTCAGTGGAGAAGCAAAATTGCCACGTACCAGACATCTTCATCACTAGTTTGTACAAGTTGCTAGAATTGAAGGTTTCGTTTTCTGTTTATGCATCCACGACCGCGAAGCATCACCGCCGTTCGCGAGAGCTGTATGAATAGATAGTCAAATAGAATGACAATTACTTCGAGGACGAAGATGCTGAAAAGGGAATCCTGTAACGCATCGATTCAGAGGGTAAAGAAACGCTTGAAACTGTCGCGAAAAAGCGCTTCGTATCTGTGCCAATTGAGGTCATCAAAAGGCTCAAGCGAATTCGGTGCAAATGTCATGATTCCTAAATTTTACACACAATTTATCCCGAAATATACGTATCGTTTGTTAGGGAGGTCAGTGATGTATCCTCATTTTAAATGACGTCTTCGTCAATTGAACTTGAAAGCAGGAGCTGACGGCAATGATGAAGCCATAAAAAACTAACAACTGCCGGTCATCTCTAAAAAACCTTTTTCGAAAAAATGTAGCGTGAACTCATTAACTTTCGAAATCAGTATTAGTTTGATAATTCTAGCTTTCTGCTTTGCTGGAACGATTGTAGTCCAATCAACGTGTCCAGACTACTAAGTCTAGCACAGAAAAAGTCTGTTCTTATGTAGGGGCTAACAGCAGGCTTTTAAGTACATAAAACATACTTAGTATCTAACCAGATAAACGAATAGTCGACCGCTGTCATCGCTACCTTCCTCAGCGCTTCCAAAAGTGGTAAATCGTTTCTCCTGTATCCGCCAAGGTTCGCCATCTGCGTCGAATATGGTGGCATTACTGATGCTAGCAATGTCGGTTAAATACTAATAGACAATATCCTCTGTGGCTTCCTTAACAAAGTTTGAAAACTAAAGCTAGTCATGCAGCGGCGTGAGAAGGTGTACAACATACTTTTCAACTGCAGCTGTACTTCATTCTCGCATCAAAATTTGAACCTGGCATTAGTCATGGTGACTGCGATTTTAAGAGTGCCTGGCCATAATATCCTGCTAATCAGGGCGATCAATGAAGCGTATTTCATTGAACATTAAATGTTACCATGTTCGATAACAAAATCAACAAATAGACTGATATCGTCAAGTTGCAGCTTTGCCATCAAAAAACACCACTGAGATGCGTTCTCTATGTTAAGCGTGTAAATATAATAAATAGTTTTAGACAAATCTTCGTGTCAAATCCCTTGGAGCGAATAACGGCAGTTCTTGAATTTATCAGTGGCTTCATAACCGCCCAACTTACTTTAGCTGCTCTTTCAAAGTCTTGAAGACGAGCGGCTCGATGGAGTCATCAAAACTAATACCTCTTTCTAAGAGTTTGACGTAAATGTCCCTAAAGTCCGAAAAGAAAGCATCTTGATCATCTGCGTATTTCTTGACGTATTTCAGATACTTCGGGTCTTGTACCAAAGCGTAGTCGGTTGGCAGCATCATAATGCCACCTTTGGCATTGTATTGCATATTGCTTGCCGCATTTTTTTCCAGTGTCCATTTTCTTTCCAACAAGTTTCCGAAGAATTCGTTACTGAAAATGTTTGTATCATCGTCCCACGGCCCATCGTAACCAGAGTTTTTCAAGTGCGTTTTACCTAAAATATGAGCACCTAAAAGAGCAACAACTTCTTGATCGTTGAATCCGAACCTGTCGTAATAATTCCTAACGTAAGAAGCGTTCCCTTCAGGAATTGGTAGTCGGCCGTGAGCGGGCACCGTTTCCGGGCCTGTGTCCACTCTCCCTGGCCTCCATGGCGTTTTTGGTCCACCAAGTTCCTGCAAGGCGGTAACACCACCTAAAGTGTACAAATCTCCATGTGATAACCAGGGATACTCGCTGTGAATAGGGTCCAGGAACTTTGTAGCATTTTCCAAACCTTTGCTAAGGACGTCACTAGCTTCCTTTTTGAACCTGAATGTACCTCCATATGAGCCACCAGAATTGTCATTTTTGTCGTAAGTGGCCGAAGAATGCCATGAAAGACGAACTAAGACCGGTCCATAACCCGTACCATCGTCGTAAGCACTTTCGCTTTTCATTTTTTCGGCAATGCTGTTATAAATATTTTGAAAGTCGGCCAATGTCTTGCCCTTTTCTGGTCTTGCGATGTGAAGAGTTTTGGTCTGCGAACAGCTTTCGCGCTTGGCATCTAGAGCTTTGAGTCCCGATCCGTTGATTTCAGTCCGCGAAGCCATGGTACAAACCCTTTTTTCACCAAGACTTCTCAATAGAGTAGAGAACATGTAAGGCAAATCGAAACGTGAAAGCGTTGAGGGTTTGAATCTTCTCTTTTATTATACTTGTCAACGCTTTTAAAAGCTCTAAGCTGTAAGCTCTGGCTGGCCGGCTGGCTGATAGGAGTGCTGTCCGGCACAGAAAGCGTCTAACGTAGAAACACCGCTAGCGTCCCTGGTCGTCGAGCGCTTTATGAATAATAGGATATACGAGCAGTTCTGAGGTTGACTAATTTATTCCTCTTCGTTCGATTTCCCATCCCTGAGGGTACTTTTGCTCTCGAAGAGTCACGTGCCAGGTTCAATATGACACATTCTCTACTCGTTGTGGAATCCGGTAGACATACAGGAGTAAGTCTGTAGAAGAATCGATCCATCAAGAAAGAACTCGATACTTTCTGGTTCTATAGCCGATAAGGATATCTTCCCAAACTGTGTTAACTTGCTGTATGTCAGTTCATACGAGTTCTGGCTACTCATTTTCCTCCAAGCGTATATGCCCTGGAGTGACCGAAGACGAATGGCGAAAGGCCAGTCTGTAACCGAAGGAACACAAAATGAAAGTAGATATGGGAAGAAGAACGACGTATTCAACATAATTGAAGAATTTTCATGGATTCTTGTTGTTTGTAAGGAGTTACGCACGACAAGCTGCTCAAGCTTCTTGGTTATTTCGTCAATTCTGTCACTGTCATCGAACCGTCTCTCCGCGAGACGGAGTAGCATTTTCTTGAGTGGCAGGCATCGTGATTTAGTTTTGAAGATCCTACTATTTCTACGTTAGGGTCTTATTTAAAGTCTGCTCCTACTATCATTTCTTTGGAGACACCGAACCAGTCGACTACATACAACTCTGTTTGGTTGTTACCAAACCTGCTCGATTTACATTACTCTCAATTTCCGAAGAAAAAGTCATCGGTCGTAGGACCCATGCAGGGTGCAGACCCACTGGAGATTTTGGTGCCTCATCTAAGACTCACAGTGGGAAATATATACCGAGACTGGTTCCTTTTCTTGACAGTTCGTTGATATTTCTGACAAAACGGTTCACCAAGTCCTGGCGGAAAGTTTGCTCGAAGAGAATGATGCCTATGAGTAGGTGTTGAATGGCTTTAAAGCAGGGTGCATCTCGTCTTTAAATTGATTTGTTTCTTGGAGGCTGCTACAGGTAGGAATTACACCTTTGAAACTCAACCGCGGCTCGTTTATGTTCGAAATTGCTCGAGAGTAGAAGATGGAGCTTTATTAGGTTGGCGTGTTAGCGACAAGAGCTTCGCACTAGTATGTTTTGCTCAGTACCTACCACCAAGGCATTGAGGGGTCCAGGCAAAGACCAAGGTAGAAACGTCCTCAAACCTTTAATGCAGAATAGCGGAAAGTTTGATCAAAAATCTTGCAATGAGATACCTGTGCAGCATACGAACAGATAGCCACAGGACTTGTGCGGCCAGGAGCCTAAACCCATATTTAATCGCTGATTGATAAGAAGGAATTCGATCATGGTTGTATAAGATCAAGCTTTTGACACTTGCCGACTACGCGAGAGACTAGGCCTAATTTTAACCGGTTTAGGACTGAAGTACGTTTTATGTCGTGATTTATAACCGAACCTGGGTTTATCAAGATATCAAATGCTTAAATCTTTTTGTTCGGGCCTCATGCTGTGAAA